CATCAGTATGGCGAATCCCGTTACTTCAACCATGGCAACGCCCATAAGCTTCAGCGATTCCTTGGATACAACCAATCTCAAAGATCGCTCAGTTCTAATAACTGGTGCGGCATCCGGTATCGGTCTGGCATGCGCAATCAAGATGGCTGAAGAAGGCGCGATTGTCACGATGGCCGACCGGCAGAATACAGCGGGGGCAGTAATTGCAGAGCTAACAGCTCGAGGGCTCAGAGCGCAGTTCGTACAATGCGACGTAACATCTTACGAAGCACAAGCCTCTATGTTTCAGTCCGCGATACAGTTTGGCGACGGGCAGATTGACGTTGTCATCCCTAATGCAGGCATTCTGGCCGAGAAGAACATGTTCGATATGGTACCAACCACTTTACCAAACCTAGGAGATTCGCCGCCTCCGGTCCCAGGCTCCGCTTGCTTGTCGGTCAATCTTGACGCCGTATACAATACCTGTTATCTCGCGTTACACTACTTCCGACTCCCGCGCACAGCCGCAACAACGTTCACGCCTAGCATCGTTCTTATCGCCTCACTGGCAGCCTACATCGGCTACCCTTACAGTACTACGTACAGCATGTCCAAGTTCGGCGTTCGAGGACTCTTCTATAGTCTTCGCGAGCGTGCTATGCGCTCTTCAATCCGCCTTAACCTCGTTGCGCCATGGTTCGTCGATACTGGCATTACCAAGCAAGACGATTTTGTCGCGGACAATGGTGCCGTGCTTGGAATTGTAGGGTATGCATCTATGGACAGGGTAGTTGATGCCGTGATGAGGTTTTCGTCGACTCAAAACCTTTGTGGCAGGAGCGTGGGTATCTTCCCAAGGGGTAATGAAGATATTCATGATGATTTAGAGGGAGGGTTTGGCGGTGCGGTAGTGGGAAAGCATATGCGCGAAATCAAAGCGGTCATTGCTCAAGACATGCAGAAGCAGGCTCACAGCGCACCCTAGCATATACAGTTGAGCGAAGGTTTGCCGAGTACGTTGTTGTCGTAAGTTAGCGGTCTCATCTTCTCAAAACTCTTGGTCATATCTGGGCGCTTGGCTCGAATTTAATATTACAACATCACTATGGTTTGTACTATTGTTCATCGGTAGGGTTAGTGAAGTGTGAAGCTTCTACGATATTATGCGGGCCCGCACTCGTACAATCTTTCGTACATGATGTTCATGAGCTCTTGGCGCCCAATGCAGAAACCGTCACCGCCGCCGGTAAAATTCCGCTACTAGTCTTCAAGGACACAAATAGCCTCATGCTTAACAAGCAATCGGAGTGATACCGTCGGGATGCCGGAAGCAACATCTGCGATCCAATACAACACCGCATGCTCCTGAGCAGATCCACGCTGATCTGCACATCTGTAACTTTGGGTACGGGCCAAGCGTCTCTTCCATCCGTAGACTTTCGACCGTCGGTATATTTTTGTGCCGTAAACAATGGAGTGTTGGTTGACTTACGTGCGTTGGGCTAGTATATAGATATTGGAGTGAAGAAATCTGGCTAAGTGATATCAAAACGCAACTGAACAAATCATTGAACAGAGCCCACAGAATCAAACATGCCTGGCGTCCAACACACCCAGATGGAAAGAGAGCCACCGACTGGTGTCGACGTCCTTGTAGTAGGAGGCGGTATCGGTGGTCTCACTTGCGCCATCGAAGCCTATCGCAAAGGGCACAATGTACGAATTCTTGAACGAAACCAAGAAGGCCAGTACTCTGGTAAGCACGTTGAAATTGGAAGATAACACAACCATCAATAACACAATAACAACCAGGCGAAGTAATCATGATAACCACTTCTGCACTCGAAACTCCCAAGAAGTGGCCCAGCTTTATGGAACGTGCCAGGGCTATTGGACTACCACCGGACTTCGAACTGCGCAAATACGACGGCACATTCATTCAGCATCATGCCCCTGGCCACTCAAAGAATCCTTCGCTGGGCATCTACCGAAAGAAACTTCACAACCTGCTTAATACCTATGTCAAAGAGCTCGGTATCCCCATAACCTACGAGTGCAGAGTAGGTGCATATTTTGAAACGAACCAAACGGGCGGCGTTATCCTTGACAATGGCGAAAGAATAATCGCAGATGTTGTTGTAGCTGCAGACGGCGTCGGCTCCAAATCTCGTGAGATCATTGATGGAAATAAAGATAAACCGATTAGCTCTGGTTTCGTTGTTTACCGGAGTTCTTTTCCTGCCGGACCAGCGATTGAAAAGTCTCCCCTTCTTGCGAAAGCGTTTGCTGGCTATGAAAACCGCGGTTTCATGTACATTGGCCCAGGCGCACATGTAGTGTTTGGACTCAATCAGGACGAGTTGTGGTATCTTCTGACAACCAAGGTCGGTGAAGAACTCTCAAGTTACTTCCATGGTCTTTTTCTTTACTGATCGACCCATTAGGACGAAAAAGGTACGGCAACAGAGAGCTGGTCGAAAACTACTTCCACAGATAAGAGTCTCCAGGTTGTCAAAGATTGGGACCCCCTTGTGGCCGAGCTCATCAGGGCAACTCCGAACAATCAATGTCTCGATTGGAAGCTTATGTGGCGTGACCCACAGCCGCAGTGGGTCTCGAAAGGCGGTCGTGTTGTTCAACTTGGCGATGCGGCACATCCATTCTTGCCCACGTCATTCAGTGGCGGCACAATGGCGATGGAGGATGCTTACTCACTAGCAGCCTGTCTGCAGATCAGTGGGAAGAAGAATGTTGCGATTGCGACAAAGGTTCATAATAAGCTGAGGTGAGTCAAGAGGCATTGCATAAAAGCAAAAGTGACTGATTCGATTATCACAGGTTCGAGCGAGTATCGTGCGCACAGAAAATGGGCTTCAAGAACCGGGAAGTCTTCCATAACACCGACTGGAAGGACGAGAAAGCAGCGCCAAAGAAGGAGGAGCAGATGGTTGGGAATTGGTTGATCTACCATAACCCTGAGCAGTACGCTTATGATAAGTATCATGAATGTGCTGAGCACTTACTCACGGGCACCGAGTTCGGGAATACGAACCTACCACCGGGGTACAAGTACAAACCGTGGACTGTACGCGAGCTTCTGGGAGCTTCAGAACGTGGTGAAGTGGTTGAAGATGAAGGCGACTGGTCTTAGATTCTGGCGACAGACTTGTTTGACTCGTAGATTGTAATTGTAGCTATTATAGACCCTCAACTGCCCACTCTGGCCATACCTCTTCCCCTCTCGGTTTGCTTGCCAAGTTCCGATCGTGGATATGCTCCTCCAACGGCAGGTCTTGATGCTGACTGCGCTCTCCCATATCAACACCTCTCTTCTGCAGTGTTCTCGCATATCCCAGTGTCTCCTTCTTCCACGCACTCCGGCTCACTTTGCCCTCGATCATGTCTGCCAGGATCATGGCATCGAAGCACGCTTGGCTAGTGCTTGCGACAGTGTGAGGCCGGAAGCCAGCCAGAGCATCGCCGATAAGGATGACACGACCATCCATGAACTCATTCGTTGGAGCAACAACGTCGGTAACTGCTTGTACAAATGGCTTCTCAGTCGCTCTGACGATCTCAGCGAACTGAGGAGGCAGGCGCTCACTTGCAATCTTACGTTGCTTCTCCCATGCTTGCGGATCCATTTTGCCAGGTGGCATGGTGATGCGATGATACTGGCCGTCCACATCGGTCATCAACTCACGGAAGTCGGGAGAAGGATCAGTTAAAGAAGGTGACGGAAAATTAGTGTAGTAGACGAAATTGATGAGGCGCTTGCCCGGCTCGAGAATACCGTTCTCGCCAGGTATCAAGTATGCTAGGATCTGGATCCCTTTCGTATGGAAGAAGGTAAAGCGTTCTTTAAAAGCTTCCAGTGTTTTTGGACTGACTGAGTTTTCAGGGACGGTCCCGCGAAGAGCGACATAGCCCGCGTACGTGCGCTCGACGCCGGTAGTGAGGAGGGAGCGGATGGTAGAACTCGGTCCATCGGCGCCAATGACCAGGTCAGCTTCCATCTCGCCCGTACTTCCTTCGCTTGTCTCGTATTTTACAACCACTTTGTTTCCCTTGTCTTGCAGTTCAACCACCTTGTGTCCATGGAGATGTGCAACCTTGCTACCACTGTCTTGGTCGCGCGGCGCGTCGCAATACTTGCTCTCGATCCCATCAACGTTAGCCCTGAGCATATAGTATGCAAGGTCCCAGCTGGTCATGTTCTGCTGCATGTCTTCCTTGTGTATGACCTCACCATCCTTGCTCAGGTATTGCCTTCGAGTCGAAGTAACAGCCAAGTCGCGCTTGCATTTGTCGTAGCGCTTGAAGAATGCCAGGGTATCACCACCTATAAGACGCGGGCGCGATGTTAGTGTATGCCTCAGGAGTGGGTCGTACAGGAGAAGTCCTCACCAGCGACGATGCCAGCGCCTTGATTGTGGAGGAGGGCGGTCGGATTCCGTTCGAGAAGCGTGATGGGGTGTGCATGTGGTGCTGGAAGACGTTTTAGAGCAAGAGCTGTCGCGAGGCCACCTAAGGATGCGCCTGCCTAGGTAGTGAAGTCAGTTTGTGCTCGGGATGAGAAGCGCGTGCGCGTGCTGGAACGTACGATGATGATGTTGAGCCTCTCACTGGTGGCGTGAGGAAAGCCCTGGGATTGTATGGTGCCGTCTGCCATTATTGGTAACTTCAGCCAGTATTCCAATCGGGCTTCACGTAAGGTGAGAGTGAAGCAGCCATAGTGAGCCTCGTTCGCGCGTCAATGGTCAGCGGGGAGGGTTGATTGGGGAAGATCCGATGACGACAGGCTCGACGTCTCAAGCAATGCCGAGGGATGTCGGAACCTGGAACGCTAATCGGAACCCCCAGCATCTCGCCCTCCCTTGCTTGTAAGCCGCACTCTCCCCACGATAGTCTTAGTAAGACGCAAGCGCTTCTGTATATTGACCATGTCTATCCAAGCTTCTGACTTGAGCCAGAAGCGTTTGCGGTATTGGAGCAGCCGGCCGTCGCGACATTGAATCATGACAGTGAATCGCGGAGCTCGTGGCCTTGTCGCTGTACGCCAAACCCCGTCCATGACATTCGGCACAACAAGACTGATAGGCCAACCAGATTACCGGTGCAAATGGCACAATCGGCTACGCGTGCGTCGTGTACGCACTGCAGACTGGCTATCGAGTACGCTGTATCGTGCGCCGTTCCGCCGCCATTGACTTCATCAAATCCGGGCCCTCGGTCCAGCCATACCTTGACCTGGTCGAATACGCTGTCGTGCCAAACAATGCTGCTGAAGGAGCTTACGACGAAGCTGTTGCAGGTGCCGATTATGTTGTGCACATAGCAGGAGCATGGCCGATGCCAAATCTGGATCCCGACAAGGACATCTACTGGCCGTACATCAACTCTACCAAGGGCTTGATTGAAGCTGGGAACAAGTCACAGACGGTGAAGAGAATGGTTTTCACGCAAGCCGGGGCTGGTCTCGTTGACTCGGAAGACGGAGATACCTTAGGCAGGCGTATGGATCGCGTTCTAAACGGTACGTCTCTTCCATCGTGCTCTCCTGTCCAGCTCAATGTCTTGTGCTGACCTACACAGAGCAGGTCCAAGTCTCGCAAACGTCTCTCGAATACCGACCCCCTCTAAAGTCTCCTCACAACGCATATTGCTCCGCAAAAGCTCAATGCATGACCAACCTTGCCCACCTTCAAGCTTCCCACAAGCTCCCCTTCTCTATCGCGCAAATCATACCAGGCACCGTCATCGGGCCTTCGGAATTCTGCACAACGTCTGAGCAAGCCCTCGCACATGTGGATCGACAAAGCAAGGCGTTGCTCTTCGATGACATGACACCACGATATGCATTCGGCTTCATACACGTAGAGGACTGCGCTCGGATTCACATTGAGGCGCTAGATGAGAGAATCAGGAGCGAAGACTTGCCTACGTGGTATGTCGCTGCTGGCACGGTAGAACCGGGTATAGATGGAGAAAAGCTATGGAACGACGCGGCAGACATGATTGAACTTGACTTCGGAAACGAAGTCAAGACAGGAGCCTTCAGAGTGGGACGAGGCAAGGTTCCTATCAACATGCCGTTTCGCGCCGATTCGAGTGTGACAGAGAACATGCTCTTGAGCGGAGACAAGATCAGGGGCCTAAAGGACAGCGTAAAGGAAGTCGCGCAATGGTATGTTGAATTGAAGAAGAAAGAAGATAAAGGGAATCTATAAACCGCAGCGAGGCATAGCACTGAGCAAATATCGCCATTTCGGTCTAGTTTTATGTGCCTTACCATTTAAAGCTTTCTTCAAAGTACTCAACACCCCTATGTCCCTTAGCCAGCATCTGTACACTTGCTCTTCTGGCCTGATCAGCCATCAAAGCTGGTCCGCAGGCCACAATCGCTAGCGGTTGTTGCCCCGCATCTCTTGCAGCTTCCACTATCGTGGTATGTACATTGGGCCTGTGCGCCATCATCCTCACACTCTTTAACGCCTCGCCTAAGACGTCGTCCTTTGCTTCGTCATCGCGAGTGACATGTACTTCCATCTCCATTCTCTCATCGCTTAACAACCCTCTGAAGTCACGCAGTACTGACGCAAGGAATGCATACTCGCGGACCGCCCAAACAATCTTCACACTCTGAACACGTGAGGACGTGGACAGTATATGAGCCAGATGTGACAGAGGCACTGCGATACCAGTCCCACCAACTATAAACAGAATGTTGGTGAAACTTCGGAGAGGGACAGTATGTCCATAGGGTCCTTCGATGAGGACGTTGAGTCTTTTGGGATGCAAAAGACAATGTGATTTTAAACGGGATGTGAAACCGTCGTATGGTCGGATAAGGAACACCATGTTCAGTACGCTTTCAGATGGCAGGAGCGCATCAGACTCGGTGGATGAGGCTGATGACGTGCGCAAGGGTTCGGGTCTGAGCGAAAGTGGCGACAAAGGCGTAGACGGAGGCTGGTCGGCATCTGTCGAGGTGTATGCCAACGTGAAAGGATGGCTCTGGTGGGCATACAACGTGTCGTCCAATACGTGGATATAGTAATATGTACCAGGCTTCGGCGCGACCAAGCTCTTCTTCCCGTCAACGTCCATTCGGACAAGGTTACTATTAGGGTCATAAGTGACCCTAGCCTTGGTACCGAAAGGATTGCGGTTGAACACTACGATCCGAACGAGGCGCATGGCGCGATCGAAGATCCAGACAACGACACATGGCCAGATAAATATGTTCCACTCGCCGTTAGTAAAGATCTCGACATGGTAGTACATGGACCAGAGTGCGGCGATGGACAACGCTATGTGCGTGACGAGAAAGAACTCGTAGTGCGCACGGCGAATACCATAGAACGAAAACGCTAAAAGGCCACACATAGCGATGGTCGCTAGTTCGCCATTCCAGAAGTAGTGTTTCGTCCAGTACTTGAGAAAGTGTGACCATCCTCCGCTCTCCAGTATCATCAGCGTATAGCCCAGACTGTGCACCACAGCTTGTACCGTGGCGACCCTAGCAACCCATCGATGGAAAGCGTTGTATGTGCCGAATCCCCATCCAGTTATCCAGATTAAAACATCGTTTCGCATGCCAAAAAGCCAGACAAGAGGGAAGTTTGCCAGCGAAACGATCCCAGTACGATCCGATACATAGCGGAGAAGTTGTGCTGACTTCTCTGGCCAGTAGAGGTTGCCTTCGGTAAGACGGTAGGAGCAGGTACAGACGGCGATGTTGAGTGCGACGAAGAAGAAGATGGTAAGCGATTGGATCCGTGGTGGTATGGTGCACCAGCCATAAGGTCGAGAACAGCGGTCACCAAACGCGGCAGGTGTGGTGAGGTATCGCTTTAGCCATGTCTGTAAACGGATTACAGGGCTGAGTGACACAGAATCTGTGCTAGAAGCAACCTCTGAGATCGCCTCATACGACTTATTGTAGTGTCGTCTACCGCGCATCAGTGATAAGAGACGCGTTGTGACACCAACAATCACTACGGCGATCCAAAAGTAGTACATGTACCATCTGCAAATCTTTTCTCAGCGATTGTGCGTTCAATAGAATCCAGATTATGCTCACCCATATACAAGATGGATCTTGTATTCCCAATCTGCTGCGTCCTGTATGCTGTGGTTAGCATTGCATTTCCCATCAGGCCATGACAGATGAAAACTGTACCATAGTCGTAAAAGCTCGCTTCACGAGCATATAACTGGGTAGCACAACTTCATCAATGCTCGGAAACTCCAGTGCCTCTTCCGCCTGCAGCCGTCTTATTTTGCCCCTTTCATCCGGCGTCCATCGATCCACAACATCGTGAAATGAAGGTAATGTGATATTCGCGTATGCTTCGCACCAAAGATTCTGACTCTCAATCCACTCTTCTATATGACCATCTCGCTTACAGAATTCCCCGAAACACAGGTACAGTGACGTGACGCGCAAATCACTTTGACATGCTCGGAACTTCCGCGAAAGCGAAGGGTCGGTGTCGTTAAAGGTTACATAGTTGATGGTGGTCTCGCAAGCCAAAGGGCAAAACTTGCCCGAGTACAGAGACTGTGCTACATCTGCAAGAGTGTAAAGAATGATAGATATCGACAAAGCGCGCATGGGTGGACGCGATGAAGTACAAGAAGGACGATGCAACCTCGGAGATCGGCGGGGTTGGAGAAATCTTATCAGATGGCTATGCACGGACTTGCGCTAAGATTGGGCGCTCCTCGTTCGCGTCAGCTGGGTCGTTGTTCGAGCCTGAAGTCGGCCAATCAAGCCTGCAGGCTCACAGCATACCAGACTATGCCACAAGTCAACGAGAAGACGACCTTTTTCACTTTACCAACCGAGCTTCGCTTGGAGATTGCCGCCTATGCGCTTGAGCAGCCCGACGCTGGACTCACCAGACAGCACAGGCCTGGAGAAAAAAGGGATCATTTTAGGGTCGACAGCAAATACAAACCCAGCAACAACCTCGCCATAAGGCTGGTCTGCCGACAATTCAACGCCGAGTTCTTTCGTCTTGCCATTCAAAAGACGCTCTTCGTGCTCCCCAAAGACTCTACTTGGGTTATTCACCAGCAATTCGACGCGCTTCTACGCGACGTAAAGAAGTTGAGAGTCCACTATAACCCCGGCGATATCAAAAGATGGGAGATGTTCCCCTTGAACAAGCCATGCATGCACCTTGATCAGCTGGAACTTGTGATCATGCTCGAAGATTCCAAAAGCCGAAAAGCCCTGGTAGACTTATTCAGACGATTGCAGAATGTCAAAGAGATCAGGCTCCTCGCCCAAGGGAGTGGTCTGCCATCATGGGGATCTCACGAATTTGTTAGACTACTCGGTGAAATGCTCAAGGAAGACCATTACCAAAGATACGATGCTCCGAACGCTCCGAATCTGGAACATTCGTGGTGGGACTGGAGCTACAGCGACGACCTCGGCCAGGCTATTTTTGTGGCCCAGCAGCCTAAACCGATCATGCTGGAAGAAGACTACATGCTGTTGATGAAGCCGAATGTTGACTACGTCATAGAGTGCATGGTGTCATATAGCACTTAGCCTCAATTATACATCTTGACCGACCATGACAAGATGTCTGTATACGTCCGTTACAGTCACTGTGTTGCTATAATTCACGCTTGAAGATCTAGGTCATTCAAGCCTGCTCTATCACCCAGTTCAATTCTTTTGCAATCACTACTGCAGTTACACGATTCGGACATCGCGGGATCTGGCCATGTGCGGGATGACAATGCGTTTGGGGGCCGAAACGGGTGTGGGATGCCAACGGTGTTGAAGGAATACATGAACTGTGCGGTAGCTGTGAAATTATGCTCATTTCACATCGAACTGAGACTATCAGAGGTTGACATTGCGTGTACGTGCAATGCAGTCGTTCGTTATCATACCGACGTAGATGATTCCCAAACATCACCATCTGACCGTGGCAGGAATTGACATGCAGCTGTGCGGAAGCGGAATGAACCTGAGATGCGGCCCCCACTCCAGCCACAGAAGCTCATTCAGGCAAAGCGCGCGTTGAGATACGCCCGAAGGATTCACTCGACGATACTTAACGCACAGTACATGTCATGGCTAGACAAGCGATACAATCGCTCTACTGGGTCTGCAAAGGCCATTCACCAAAATGGCACTTTTGACAATACTACTCACATTGCTCGCGCTGCCAGTCGCTTTGACTATCTGGTCTGCGCAATCTCTCGCCCAAAATCGCGCAAAAGCGAGGGCAATTGGCCTCCCTTACCTCGAACGATGGATCTCACCTATGAACCCTTTCTGGCTGCTTGGCGGCAGCAGATTTGTGCGCTTGTGCGAACGCTTGGGTATTGCGACCGAGAACATGTCTTGCATCTATTCGTACGGCTGGGAAGCCAATACGCGCGCCCAGGTCCACGAACATGTGGGTAGCGATGTCTTCATCGTGGTGCACCCAGGCGGTCTTCAGCTTTGCGTAGCGGATGCTGCGGTCACGTATGATATTCTGCAACGCCGCAGGGATTTCCGACGTAATATGGAAGAAATGGCTGTTCTTAACGTGTACGGAAAGAACCTATCGACGACGGATGACGAGGAGTGGCAGCGGCATCGGAAGATGACTGGCGTTACATTCACGGAGAAGAACAACGAGCTGGTTTGGAGGCAGTCTTTGAGTCAGACTGAAGGTATGCTCGAATTCTGGACCAAGCGATGCAAGCAACCGATACGTTCGACCCACCAAGATACAAAGGTCTTCACACTCAATGTCCTGGCCGCAGCAATGTTCGACAAGGTCTATCCGTTCGAAGGAAAGTCTGAGGAAACCAAGAGCAAGCATGAGGGTGATACCTCATACATGTATCGAGCTTCTCTCTCAACCATTCTGGGCTCCATCATCCAGATCTTCATCCTGGGCGAAGAAGGACTGAAAGCCTGGTGGACGCCTAAGTCCTGGAAAGGTGCTGCGGAAGCAATGGCTATTTTCCGCTCGTACATTTTACGTCTGATGGATGAAGAACGGACACACGTGAAGCAAGGACGGACTGATCGTCAGCATCTTGTCGCGCGTCTGGTGCGCGCATTAGACACAAATCAAAGTTCCGGCGATGCACCCCTCTACGAAGTCGCGGACGAAAACAAGGCTATTAAGACTGTGAATATGACCGAAGAAGAGATCATCAGCAATCTCTTCGTATACGCATTTGCCGGGAACGACACTACAGCCATCGCCCTAACCAGCATACTTTACCATCTCGCCGCGAACCCACAGTCGCAAGAGTGGATTAGTGAAGAACTACACCATTACCTTACTTCTAGCGACACCAGCACATGGAGTTTCGAGAACTTCAAAAAGCTAAAACGCTGTGGTGCTGTGATTGTAAGTACCGTGTTAGTCCGTGTCACCAAATTTATGCTAATCCGTTCGTAGATGGAAACATTGCGTATCTGCCACCCACTATCCCAATTAGTCAAGACGACGGGTTCAAATTCTCAACCTTTGAAATACAACGGTGAAACATACATTATACCTGCCGGAACATCAGTCCATTGCTCTATACCAGCTCTCCACGCACTCCCCAAATACTGGGGACCTGATCCCCTCGGCTGGAATCCCGGTCAACATATTAGCGTATCGGATCCTCAAACTCAAGGAACAATCCCATTCGAAAGCGAGGTACTAGCGCCAGATACATCCGAGCACTATCTAGCGTGGGCATGGGGCCAGCGCGTGTGTCCAGGAAAGCGCTTCTCACAAGTCGAGCTTGTAGCGGTCCTGGCCGCGCTGTTGCGGGACTGGAAAGTAGAAGTTGTGCCTGAATCTGGTGAAACAGAGGAAGGCGCAAGGAAGAGGGCGTGGGAGTGCAGTTTGAAAGTCGACCATGAGGGGCATATGTTGCACGAGATGGTCAACCCCGAGAGTGTAGGACTGAGATGGGTGAGAAGAGTTTAGTGGAAAACATTTGATATCATCGAAACCTGCGAGGTTCGCCACCCGGAACCAGATTCTTTATCCTAGCCCTCAAATGTCGACCAATCTTCCAAACTCGTCATCTGTCCTGCCATACCCACGCTCTCCAGAAAAAGAAGATTCTTGTCACCACCGTAATATCCAAGATCTCTAGTGTACTACCAGCACTGCATAGTATGCTCCTTGATATCATCATCTCCAGACATCGTATCCCAATATTCTTTTCCAGACATGTGCTTGATACCTTCGTCGCCAACTAATTTCTTACCCACAACCTTCGACCACTTGGCCATGATCTCGCGGTACGTGGCTGACTCGCTCATGGCGGCAAGACGAGTACTAGGCTGGAGGTCTTCGATGAGCTTCTTAACGAGAGGACCCGTGTCGTGGCGCGTCCAGCGTCATTTTGCTCGAGGAGAAGGCGAAGATAGGTATGCACCCAATGAGCAGGACAAAATGGCAAATGCGAAATGCTTGTTGTTGTTAAGCCTGTGGAGTGATCTACACTAGCTTGCGGATGCGGAGTGTCGGCAGCACTCCGGAGGTTGTTTGCTTGACATTTCGGACGAGATGCAGCAAGTGCAATTTTGACTGTTATGTCCACGTCTTCCCACATAAATTCGACAGTATCTAGACGCTGATCTTTAATTGTGCCTGTCCTTGCTATTGACCTACCTATCCAATACCCCAGTTGCTCTCAGGTATCCTGCATCCTAATGTCGGCAGCTTAGGGCACCTGTCCAGTTTGTCTCTCCGGTGGAGCTCTCGGTGTCTTGGAGCTGATGATAACGTTTATACACCCGGGCAGGTACCAAGTCCCCATTAATTTTGTCTTCACTCAAATCGTCAGGCGTTTACAAAGCGCAGCGGCTTGCGGCTTTCATCATTGACCATGAAGACTAATGTCGACCAACTCTGCTGCATCGCGAAGCACGCAACTGTGTGCGAGGCTTGGTAATTGAAAGCATCGAGGTGCGGAAAGAGATGAACCGGTGCTTACTGACAGCGCGACGGCTTATTAGAAATCACGCCCCTTTGGATGCCCCGGAGCTCCGACGCGGCCCCCACTTGCCCAATGATGTACTTGACGCAATACATCTCGCGTCTTCCTCAACACCAAGCGCGACTGCTATAATAGGAGCCATGGCGTCTCTTGTCAAGCGCCCTCCACACTCCGAAGCAACCCATCGCCCACCATGAGCACCCCCAAGCCAATCCTCATCTCCGGCGGCGGCCTTGCCTCGCTCCTCCTCGCCCGTTCGCTGCACCGGTCCAAAATCCCATTCCTCGTCTTCGAACGCGACGCATCCATCATTTTCAGAGCCCAAGGCTACCGCCTGCGACTCTCAGCCCAGGGGCTCGATGCCATTGAGGAAGTCCTCGGCCCCACGGGCTTCCAGAAGTTCTACGATGCTTGTGGGAAAACAGGTGGGGCCGGCTTTGCAGCCATCAACCCGCTGACGGGCGAGACAGTGGGTGGAGATGCTCCGAGCGTGAGGAGCGAGCCTTTGACAAGCAAGGACGGTAAGGTGGTGGGCATCTCGCGCGGCGACATGCGCAAGCTGTTCATCGAGGGCCTAGAGGACAAGGTGCGCTGGAATCACCACGCCACAGCATACGAAAGGACGGACAATGGTGTGCGATTGATTTTTGCCGATGGTACCAAGTCGGAAGAAGGATCCATGCTGGTTGGAGGCGAGGGCGTCAAGAGCGCAGTAGGCGCTCAGCTGTCCAACGGCGCCATCAAAGTTTACGACCTTGGATCGAGAGGAATCCATGGACAAGCTCCAACATCCGCTTTTAGGGCCTTGGGCGAAGGCGTCTTCCGATTCGCCGACGACACGTCGCAACCAAACGGCGGCAGGGTCTTCATCATCACAAATGTACGCGCTGGTGATATGGATAACCCCGATATCGACTTTGGCTGGACCATGATTGGCTCGCCAGGTGTCATCAAGGCACCTAATGACAACTACACCATTACCGGACAGCCTGTTGCAAAAATTGCCAAAGCCCTCACTTCGCACTACCACCAGCGTGTCAGACCACTGTTCGAGAATATGAAAGAATCTGAAGCAGCTTTCTGGAAGATCACATGCTCTGACCCGAGGGGTGTTCCGGAATGGCCCAACGATCCTCGAGTTACTCTTGTTGGCGACGCTGTCCATGCCATGACGCCGGCGGGCGGCAACGGTGCGAACACGGCTGTGCGTGATTCAGCTTTGCTTGGTCGATTGATTGCCGAAGCTTGGGAGAGAGGCGATGGCGATAAATGGACTGGTGTGACAGAGGCATACGAGAAGGAAATGCGCATATACGCATCTGAGGCTGTTAAGACTAGTTACGGGCAGGCTACAGGGATGTTCGGTATCGACCTTGACCTCGAGACGACACCCACGATAAACGAATACATGGCGCCGAATTAAGGCTAAATCTTGGATTACATCCTACCTCACACTACTACAGTAATGTATGTCAAGAGTTATAGTATAGACATGAAGAATCTAAAAGCCTACAATGCTTTCAGTCTCTATAAGGTTGTCTGTTAGAAGTTAATGTAGGCTTCAAGGTAAGGCATAAGGTCTCTATACCTGTTTCATTTTCCTCGTATGCGGTGCAGGCAAGATTTTAGTGGCTTTTTTAGCAGCAAAAGATCTCGGCCGCTCTCTTTATTGCCGGTAGTGACATCCGCCATAGCGACCACGACTCATGTACAGCTTCCCCGCATCGGCCCACCATCATTAAAAAACGGGTCCTCACGCGAGATGTACAGCTGTACATCTCGCACGAACTTCCCATTAGATGGATCCACCTCTTCCAGCGCGTCCACGCAAACGCCGTGCTATCAATGCATGCATCAGTTGCCGAACGTCCAAGGTCCGCTGCGATGGAAACCGCCCCTGTCAACGATGTGACAGGAATAGTACAACCTGTCAGTACCATGACGCAGTCAAGGATGAGAACGTGTTGCGTATCGAAAAGCTCGAGGAAGAAATGGCCATGATTCGCGAGCACATGCGTGTCCAACAAGGCCGGGACAAAAGCGTACGTAGGCACCTGCAAATAAGCCAGGCAGGACTACACCTGAGCCAGCTAGAGGCACAACAGACTTCAGCCCCACTTCGTGGACCATCATGAGATATCTCGCTGATCATGTCCGTGGCTACAGTCACTCGCGGAGCATGCGAATACAACAGTTCCCGACTTTGCGCTTCATTCCCTACCTCGATGCAACGCACCTGCCATGCCAATACGCAATGCCGTTGATGCAGGCATAGTCACATGGGAACAAGCAGCGAGTTGGTATCAAAGGTAGCTAGAACCGAATCTTCTGTAAATCCTCATATCACTGATTAGCGGCAGCTTCTTTTCTGGTAGTGTATGAGGGCTCCGATTTATCGTTTGAACCACACTAAATGGCATAGCAATATCTTGTACCCATATTTTGCGAGAAGACAGATACCATTGCATCAGTGTCTTCACGGAGTCCGTGAGAAATTCTCCAGTCCTACTCAAGGGTGAGACATACACTGACTTTGAAAAAGAATTCTGTTCGATGCCATTGTTAGCATTGGCTGTCGTGCTAACGAGGGATTCAACACAACGATATATCGTCGGTTGCAGTCTAGAGTTCGCGACCATATAACCAATATGCTTATTAACACAAGCGTTCCTACACTAGAGGATGTACAAGCGATCGCATTAGTGGCGGCATACTCGGAGAATGGATTTGTACTAATAGCAACAGCCCTTCGCTTCGCCATACAGATCGGGCTACCTCTTGCTGTTGATCAACTCATCGCGAAAAGTCATGCACGGCCAAGGGTTATCACTACCGATGAGCAAAATCTTTACCGGTTATCCAGAGTTTGGCACGGCATCTGCAACCTTGAGCTTTTGTGAGTATGCCATATGCCAAGTCGAAGATTTCTGCTGAAGATATTCCAGTTTCTCCCTCGATGGAGGCAAACTACCAGGCCTGACTCTTCAAATGTCGTCCAGGAAAATTAGGAGCCTGCTCGTTCATCCGGAACGAACAGCGATAGATATCCGACTTCTTTCGCAAGTCGAGCTCAATATCATCCGTACCGAAGCTTATACCAAGATCATGGGTCGGAACAGCGATTTCATGATTCAACCCGGCGAAGATCAGCTTCGAACTACAGTAGATGACGCTAGAGTTGAGCTGTCACTGTGGCTCGATGAGTGGACCACTATCGCAATGACGGAGCCAGCACCACACCAGCGTGCAATAGCATTACAAAATTTGCAAATCCAACGGGAGTGGGCGATGATGACGCTCTATCTAAAAGCTGTATCCTCGTCAGGGATCGAGAACATTGCAATCATGACCGACTTCCAACGCGACTTCATACGTAAAGCCAAGGAGGCGGCAAGCTGCCATTTACATTACATGCTTCAGTCATCGCTAACACCAACCTCGTCGCCTGCATCTCACACTACCACCTCTGGCTCAGCATATCTCAGTACTTTCCGCTGGACGCTTGATTACGTTTGGGCTAAATGCGCCGTATCAGTTCTACTCGTTCTCAGGCTAGCCATTCTTCTCCGCGACCCAGTCCCCTCTGTCATGGCGCTGCTTCGTGACGCGCACCGTGTGCTAGAAGAGTTGAAGACAGTGACCGTCGGCCATATCGCATATTTTCAGATCTTGCAAACCAGCATCGAGAAATGCGAAGCCGCTCTTCGAGAGTATGCTGCGGAACAAAATTCTGATCAAGAAAATTCGATGGCTGGAGCAAGAAATGGGGCGGCTGAAGACGAGTTCCAGGGCTACGTGCCAAGCGAGTTTGTGTTCGAGTGGGATTTTCCTGGGTTAAATCTCAAACACATGCCTCTCGGATGGCAAGATCTATTCGTCAACATAGACAGCTTGTTTTGAAACGAGAATTTCAACAAGAAGCGGAAATATATACGCAAGTCATTTTCGGATGACTGGGTCCAGTAGCCAAGCATGTACATTATGTGCGGAGGCCAACAAGACATACGACTATCCATTCCATCGCGATACACGCTGCCCAGATGTCGTTTGAAAGGACGATCTCCACTGTGCGTTACTTATAAAACATAAACGAAATCTTCGTTCTTGATATCAGTTAGATCATCGAACGCCTTGTCACCCACGCCACTGGCTTGTGCGTTGTCAGCTTCCTCGGCGTCACCTTCACGCGCAGTTCCCATACTCGTATCAACAACGATCGCCGATTTGCCCATGCTCTCCCTTGTTGCTGCATGCTTCCGGTTCAACAGCTTGATCCAGAACATTGCAAGCAAAATCAGAACAATGATTGCAATGAACAATGCCAAATTGGCGCGCAATCCTCTGTAGTAGTGTGGCTTCTCGGATGGCTTGAAAAGTTGGGGTCCGATGATGTTACCCGCACTAGCGCCGACAAAGAGGATACTAGTCGTTACTTTACGCTTCGTGTCGCCTCCAGTATTCTGGCCGGACCAGGAATAGATGAGCGGAGATATTCCGGGGTAAAATGACGTCTGGGCTTGTTAGTGTTGATCGTTCTGTTTCGAAGAAGCAATGACTTACGAGGTAATATCCGAAAAGCAAGACGCCTTTGTTCGAATCGCCGCGTCCAACGACCATGAGGATAATGATGCCAATGATTGGCGGGTTACACAAAAGGATCAAGACCGGGCTCTTTTTCTTGAGCCATGTTGCTAGCCAAGCGCCCCCTATAGTTGCCACAATCTGGACGACGCCGAACGGCATGTTGAAGAGAATGGTTGCAAATTGACCAAATCCGAAACCTGGATACGCGGTCAGTACAGGCGTCACATGTGGCTTGTGTAAGGGGACTGCTCACTCTGAATGATCAAAGGTCCGAATGTAGTGATACCGCCACTAGGAATGCTGACAGCCGTCAACATGGAAAACCAAAGCCAAGTCTTGGGATCCATGAAGGCTTCCAATACGTGATCCCACTTCCAGACGCGGGATGCGACACCCATTTGATTCATACGCAGACGCTCGACCGCAATGAGCTTCTCGTGATCATTCAGGAACTTTGCTTCGACGGGGGAGTCCGGCATGAAGAACCAAACGAAGACCGACACGATAACTGTGAGCAGGCCACAAAAGAGGAAGATGATCTGGTATGAGTGCAGGAGGTCCGACTTGATATGTCCCAAGCCGTACGAGAGCAAGCTCCCAAGAATGTTGACGATACCTAGCATGGCGTACCAGGCTGCGTTGCGGTTCGTTTGCTCTCCACGCTTATACCACATCTGGACGACGGCAATGAATGCAGGTGCTATGGAACGTTAGTAGTCGCTATGGTGCCAGTATGAGGGTCTAACTTACCTATGGCAGCTTCGAAAGCACCCAGTAGGAACCGTGTTGCCATGAGTCCAGCGAAGTCTCTTGCACCAGCCATGCCACACACTTAGTGTAGGCGTATGAAGTCAGTGTATGCGTCACATGCAATTCGTACAGAGACACTCACGAATGACACCCCAGGTGAAGACCATCACGCCCATGAACTTTCCCATCCTCAGCTTGACTAGCAGTACAGCAACGACTGGTTGCGCTACTAGCTGAGCAATGTATACAATACTGCCTAGCCATGAGTATTGCTGACTGTTCGGGTCAAGGTTGGCATCCTCGATCAGCCCAAATACGGAAGCGTAGGACAGAGTGGTCTTGTCGAGAGACTGCAGAAAGTAGACACTGAGGAGGATGGGTAATATGACAAGATCGATCTTCTTCAAGACGCGTTTGTTCTCGGCGCTGCATGGTATGAGGTCAGTATACGTTCCACATGAATTCATATGGGAGTACTCACGATGTTACGACGATGCGTTCGTTCGATGCGAGGAGCGCAGCCGCTTTGTCTTTGCCTTTACCGTTAGCAGCGTTGCTAGGCTTATGGATAGATTCTGTGGTTTCGACATTTTCGACATGGTTCTTATCGATATCTGTTGCCGTTGTTGTTGTTGCTGCAGTAGCGTCCGTCATCTCTGGTTTCGACATCGCAAGAAGGAGTGAGGTGGAGCGAACCCAGAAATGTCTGTAATGCTGCAGCAGTAGTCAGTGGATATGGCCCGACTAAACTTATACGCATCCCCACGGGGACCCCAGACTCCGATCTTAACTCTTTTGGGGGTAGATGCATTGCTCGCGCGCGGCCGAACAAGCCGGCTTGGCCTTTTCGGCATCGGAAAATGGCACTTTCGTGCGAAGTAACATACGTTGTCTTGCTATAAGTATAATTGATTGAAGTCACGATACTTTGAAAGAGGACAGGTACTGACGACCAGTTTTACATTCATTCTCCATCATGCCAATGCTTGAGCATGTCATCAGCGGCTACCAAGCTGCCGCCGCAACAGAAACATCAAACTCGAGTGTTCAATTGCAGTCTAACTCGGGTGACTTCACATTTACGTTCGATGCATTACGACCTGGCCTTTTCCGAACAACGTTCACCTCACCAAAGCATCTGTTGCCGCCGCACCGAGCTACGCCGGTGCCAGACAAGACCCTGGACCATGCGGATGCAGGCCTGGTCACATCAAACGCTAGTTCAAAGACATTAGCCGTTGATGGCGTAACCGCGAATGTGGACTGGGAAAGTGGCGTACCCATCGTTTCAATCACACTTCCTGGCCAAAAAACACCTATTCATACCGACCTTCCCAACCGTTCGTACGTCGCTGATGGACCTGGAATATCTCATTACACGCGTTACAACAATGGAACCCTCCATCTTGGTCTCGGCGAGAAGCCAGCACCCATGGATCTATCGAACCGTCACTTCGTTCTTTCCGCCACCGATTCTTTTGGCTACGACGTATATCGCACAGATCCCATGTATAAGCACATTCCGCTTCTCATCAATGCTACTCCGGAAGGCTGTGTTGGTATCTTCTCAACATCGCATGCCCGTGGCTTCTATTCTGTAGGCTCGGAGATGGACGGCATGTGGGGGCGTTTCAAGGTCTACCGTCAGGACTATGGCGGCCTAGAGGAGTATCTACTAGTTGGAAAGACGCTACCAGATATCGTACGCATTTACGCTGACCTTGTTGGTCACCCGTTACTAGTACCGCGGTGGGCGTTTGGCTATCTAGCCGGCGGTATGAAGTACTCCATGACGGACGACCCACCAGCGAGTCAGAGTTTGATGGAATTTGCTGCTAAGCTAAAGGAACATGACATCCCTTGCTCTGGTATGCAGATGTCATCTGGCTATACGGTTGCAGAGACGGAGCCGAAGACGCGCAATGTCTTTACATGGAACAAACACCGGTTTCCTGATCCAAAAGGCTGGATTGATGCTTACCATAAGGAGGGTATCAGGCTTATCGCTAACGTGAAGCCGTATGTTTTGGGCACACATCCAGAGTATCAAAAGCTCAAGGAAGCTGGGGCATTCTTCACGGATTCTTTGACGTTGGCATCTGCTGAGGCTAGACTGTGGAGTGCAGGTGGTGGTGAGAGCGGTGTCGGCGGTCATATTGACTTCACTTCCAAAGCGGGATACAAGTGGTGGTATGACGGGATCCGCCAATTGAAGCGAGAAGGCATCGATTGTATCCGGAATGATAACAACGAATACACTATCCCGCACGATGGCTGGCAGTGCGCATTGGACGAACCGACAGTTACCCAAGAGCCCAAGAGCGGCGGTTACGGCAAAGATATCGGGTTTTGGGGCCGCGCACTGAACACAGAACTGATGGGCAAATCCTCACATGACGCCTCCCTTGACATAGAGCCCTCGCAACGTCCGTTCATCCTGACCCGTAGCGCTACAGCCGGAACGCTTCGCTATTGTGCTAGTGCCTGGAGCGGCGACAACGTAACATCTTGGCCGGGCATGAAGGGTGCGAACGCATTATCTCTCACGGCTGGAGTGTGTCTGATGCAATGCTACGGCCATGACATAGGCGGTTTCGAAGGCCCACAGCCGAGCCCCGAACTCCTTGTCCGTTGGTGCCAACAAGGTATCTACAGTCCGCGCTTCGCCATCAATTGCTTCAAGACCGGCAAAGACAACAGTGTCGGCGATGTGATTGAGCCTTGGATGTATCCGGAGGTTACGGGTTTGATACGGGATACTATCAAGCGCCGTTACGAACTTATTCCTTACCTGTACTCGCTGGCCTTGCATTCTCATATGTCTGCAACTCCGCCACAGCGTTGGACTGGTTGGGGATATGAGAACGATCAGGAAATCTGGGCGAACAAGGTACTGACCGACGGCGAAACACAGTACTGGCTTGGCGATGCATTGCTGGTCGGTGGTGTTTTCACTCCTGGTGCTGAGACTTCTAGCATGTATCTTCCCAAGGACTTAGCAGACTCGGATGCCGCGTTTCTGGATCTCAACAACGAGCCACAGACATACTATGACGCTGGTCAGTGGGTCGATATTTCAGCGCGTTGGGAATCGAGCATTCCAGTGCTAGCGAAAGTGGGAAGTGCAATTCCGGTTGGACGTGCCGAACAAGTCCTCTCAGTGGGCGAGACGAGCAATCCAGCGAATCTACCACATGACGACTACCGCGCCGTGGAAATCTTCCCTCCAAAGGCTTCTTCGAAAGGCAAGGAGTATGAATCTGTTTGGTTTGAAGACGATGGTGTTTCGCCGCCACCAGCCAAGATCTCAGTCTTCACGGTCAAGTACGAGACGACTGAAACTCAAGTACTGGTCCAGTACAAAGAGAAACTGCAAGAAGGGTTCAGACCACATTGGGAGGAGCTGGAGATCATCTTGCCAAGAGGTGATACGAGGAGTGTGGTGTTCAATGGGGCGGATGCGGTGAAAACAGGAGTTGACAAGCAGGGGAGAGAAAAGTGGAAGTGCAGTATCGAGAGCAGAAAGTAAGCAAGTCATCATCCCATGGAAGATATCAGAATGACTTCACAGTAGAAGGACACTCTAGCATTGTTACATTCCAAACTTGCCACAGTCGCTCTAGCCTCCCTCCCCCAAATGCTAATGTCTTGCCACGAGTATTCACATATTTCATGCTACAGAGGTGTTGGCTGACGAAATAGAGAAGTGACGAATTTCAATTTTGTCTGGATGATGCCTCGTAGTAGTAAGACACTGTACAAGACTGACACGCGTGTGAATGTTTGTGCTTAATCGAACATCATATCACATCTTTGAACCACCATGCCTTGTATCAGAATACCAGCATGCGACTAGCTACTGCAGTCCGACCGCAAGACAGCTGCACACCCTATGCGTATATGTAGCAAAATGGCCCAGCAAGAGTATTCAACGCATCCCCGATAGTGATATTTGGCGCCCCAACATATTCTCCCATTGTGATCGTATCGTTGAGCGTGCCGTTAGGTCCTTGATTTCCGATGATCGTGCCTCCGCTGATGGCATATTGTCTATTTACAATATCTTGGTTTTGCCACGTCCTAGATGATGGGATATTGGTCAGCATATGTATCAAAGCTGGGTTCTACGGACATCAACTCACCACCATACCCTATCGATCATGCCGTGATGAGGAAAGAACGCTGGATCGGCGGGTGAGTTGTAGAAGTCTGAGCCGGCATCTCCTCCGATAGTGTAATGTCCGCCCTGTATATAGGTTAGTATCCACGCGTGACAAGTATTGCTGGGTAAACCTACAGTGTGTACACCCATGAAGTTCTTCGCAAACTCTCCCTGGTACACTGTTTGGAAGCGTGCAATGTCTTTGATTTGGATGAGAGAAGAGACTTCGAAATCACTCGTGGAATTTGCAGCCTGTAGATTGATGTCACGAGAAAGACAGCGCGGATTGTAGCCCAGACCGTTGGCTTGTGGGTTTGGTGGTATACCACCAGGAACCTTCAGCATTGTTTGCAGGGGGCCCATGTTGATCTTCCAACTACGGTTCCGTCAGTACATACAGCAAAAAAGCGTAGCAATTTTGCGCTACTCGGTCGTCTAAAAATACTTACTCTTTGAACGGACCGGAAGTGACACAACCACCTCCTGTACCGGGTTGCAGCTTCATGAGACATGGTTCTTCATATGGAAAGCAAGAATAATTCCTTCCAGGAATGTACTCGCCGTCACCAGACATACTGTATCTGCTGCCATCGAAGAATGGTCCGCTTTTTGGGTCGTGCGACCAGTGAGCCCAGTTGTAGTAGGGTTGATAACCTTTGTAGCCACACTCATTACGGAGCATCTGCTCGAATGTCCAGGTGAAGTACCGATGCCATGACAGGAAGTTTGCCGTTCCATGGATAGAGAGCGATTGCTGGATATGTGTCACCACTAAATCGTCGTATCGACTCTTTGCCCCTGCAGCAATAGCAGCTGGGGTTCTCGCTGGCTTCTTTCCAAGGCACTGTACTGCTTTGATGTAATCACGTTTCTCCGATGTTGAAAGAGACGCCCTAGAGGAAACAGTTAGTCAAAGCTTTCTCGAATCATGTCTCTTCTGGCATACCATTCCTTTCTGACATATGCAGTCTCTAGGGTACACTTTTCCGCATTTGGATAGCCGTGTTCAGCAACATATGCCTTCAAGTTGGCTAGACCCTGATGAGCCAGCTTGTCATTCTCCATGAACTTTGCCTTCGGTGCAGCACTGGCGACGGCCAGCAGGCCTGCTAGGACGAGTGCTAACCTCATTGCAAGAAGCGAACCAGAGAGTTGTGAACACAATGCCCAACGGCGCGGAAGAAGACGTCAGATTTATAGCTCCACAGTTATAAATTGCTTGACAAGGTACACCGAAGCCTAGGATTATGCACAAGCTTGTTGAAAGAACAACCAGGTCTACGGGTCAGTTCTTGGGACAGGGAAGAAATACTGGAAATTCCCACGGCATGGAATGTAAATTGACAGGCATCAAGTGCACCGAGGATTTTAGCTCAATATGTCTCGGAGGCATCTCGCCGCTGTAAAGATCAGTAGCTTAGTGCGCTGAGCAGTGATGGCCTAAGGGCCACCCGCGTGTAGAGTGTCTGACCAATGAACACAATAACTGAATCACCAATTCGCAGTCCCCGCGCTCTCCTAGAGGTCGGAGAAATCTTAGCGTTCTCGGTTGCTGCGCTGTGGGACGCAAAATAAAAAGTTCTCTGCATTTACGCCCTTTGGCATGTCCAGGTAGCATCTCAGGCTATTGCCATCAGTCTAATCGGGGTATTTCCTTGATGCAGGCAAGTCCCATGCTGATCAAAGTCGTCTAATGCAAGTGTAATGCTACCATGCTAAGACGATGCAAATGCACGATTCATCTAGTCGCGCAACGGGAAGGGGAAAGTGCTCGGCGATAAGTGGATTGAAGGATGCACTATAAGACATGTTGTTTGATGGAGTCTTCCGATCGGAAGGTAAGAAGCGAGACGGCGATGTGGTGGAGGCGGTAAGGATCGTACAATAGTGCGAAGACGCGAAGACGCCTCAGACCTGCAGCGGCAGAGACTACCGGCCCGCTACTTAGCTATGCCAAGATTCGATCAACTTCGGCCCCCATCAGTCTTCGCATGCTCCACGACCGATCGCCTTGGTGGCACAATATGCTATCTACGCCCCGTTCGTAATATACTCGATGTATCCTGATTCGAAGCTGGTCTCCGAGAATTGGCCAATGCTCGCACATGCCGCGATATACACAAAGAGTCCGCGAGGGTCCGTCCCCGCATGCAGCCCATCGGCGCCACAGCAGGCAACGGTGAGATCAAGTTGGCGGACAGCAACATCAGCCTATCCAGCTCAGCATGCCCTCCTCCTTCGGGAGTTGCTTAAAACCCCCGTAGATGCAACCTTGCGACGCGTCCGCCGGACCCGCTGGCCCAGCAAATGTCCTTCCCAACGCACTCTACAGCATCGAATGTCCCGTTAGCGATACCCGCCCAATTCCTTCCTCCATCGATAGTAAAGTCGGAGCCGCTGGTGCCGACCGCTACTGCTACCTGTCTCCTACTAGGTATCCAACTGACGCCGGACCTATAGCCGCGTGGGAATGAGTCAGCTTTGTGCCAATTCGCTCCGCCATCGCTTGACCAGGCGGCCGTATTGTTGCTGGCTGTAGGCCGTTCGTAGTCGCCTCCGACTGCGATGCCGTGTCGTGTGTCGCGAAAACGTACAGAGAACACTCCAGCTGCTGCGCCACCAGCGATGGACGAGTTTGCGACTTGCCAGCCGTGACTGACGCTGGAGGAGGTAGTGTAAAAGATACGTCCCGGGTCAACCCCTCCCGTTGCCAAATACCATCGACCCGCCGCAGCCTCAATACACGTCCCACTGGCCGCGAAACCAAACTCGCCCTCCAGTGCTGGCGGCATTGTGTTGTTCGAAACGATAGCCCAATGCACACCACCATCCCACGTCTCCAATAAGCGGAACTTGCCTTGGACAGGATCGCTCATTGCGACACCATGACTTTCCCTTCCTTTCCTCGTCTCGAATGACATGCAGTCGTAGAAGGCCGTTTCCTCTTCATTGACGAACGTGCGTTTCCAATTCTTTCCGCCGTCACTCGTGATATAGATGCGGGAAAGATTCCCTTCACCGATTGACAATGTTACAGCAGTGGTACTAGAAAAGGCTTGAATATCGCGGAACTGAAAGTCGGATGCGTTCTCCGTCGCGGCAAATTTCGGAGACACGTTCGTCCATGTCGAACCTGAGTCGGTGGTCCGCAGAACAGTTCCATTGGTCCCTGAAATCCAGACAACCTTTTCGTTAACAGGTGAGAGGCCGCGAAACTGCTGTGTGCTGTTGGTAGGTGTAATCTCCCATGAAAGAGGCTTTGGAGATGACGGATGCGCAAGCGTGAATGACGCGACGGGGAGCAGGAGAGCAAGTATCTTCATGACGAGAGCACCAAGAAACGAGGAGGTATCCAGTAGCAATTGTTTAAGAAAATGAAGTTTGTATTCGGGAAGTGAAGTACCATCAAAGGTAGCTATCTTTATTAGCACCATATCCATAGGGTACCCCGCAACGGCCTTTAGCCTCGATAGGAAGGTGCGACATTCGCCACCAGAAGGAGACTGATCGACTTGAATGTCCAAAGACCTCGACCGGATGCCTATCGATAATGCAATGTGTATTTGGCTCTGAATGTAAGGTTACAAACATCCGAATTTATGTTTGCGCCAAGTCTTTCGTCTCTTGTCAGACTTGCACTGTAATCCACTTTTCAGACCGAAGCCGGCCGAAAGCACTGGCTAGATGGTATATCGGTTATCTCTAGCCAGATTTTGATGGACTTTTTTCTATCCTTACTCCAGCGAGAGACGGAATAATACGAACTGGACTTCATTCGCTTTAAGAGATGGAATGTAGCTTGCTTGCGAAGCTCGACTGCATGCAGAGAAGCGACCGAATGCCTCTCGTTTGAAGCATTCATCGGGGCTCAATGCAATGGGATCAGAGCTGCGTACGCATAGTGTTCATCCAGAAGAGCTATTGAGAGACATTAACCAAGTACGACATCAGACCGCTCTTCGGTTAGTCTCCTCGATAGCACCGTTGAAGTGATATTGAGCGGTAAGTTTGTTTGATCTGATGGGAGACCTCGCAGCTTTATAACACAATGACATGATGCTATCTATTCGAGTCGATGCCGACCATTCGTCCGGCTTCCAAGCTTTCCCGGTGTAGCTCACAGTTAGGCAGAAGCCCTCGGCCGAGCACGTAGCGCTGGCATCGTTGTCAACCCCAGGATCGTATCGCTTGGCAAATGCCAAACTTTGGCACTCCAAGCACCAGAAGAGCGTGACCCAAGGCACAATTTGGTATTCATGGCTTGGCGTTCCAAGAGCATGTCAGGAACGGCCCGTATTGCGCACTGACCGTACTTCCGACAAGGTCCCAGAAGCCCTTCTGATAGGGTAAAATCGTGGAGGCTCGAAAACATCTTTTCGGCCGAATCTCACGGAAAAGCGCAGCTAAACTATGTCGCAGCGGGGATATTACAATCACTTCGCTTGGTGCACTTCAGCCCCAATAGCCAAGCAAGTACGCGTGAGGCCACAATGGCTGTGCATGCAGGAAAGCTTCCAAGGGGGTTTTATAGCACTTTTCTGGCACGCTGGAAACGTATGACTTGAGCAACAAATGCCTTCATAGTTCCCCATCTTACATCAAACTATTGACTGCAATCACCCACTTGCAAGTACCGACCAACCTTGACTGCATATTGCACAAGATGGCAAAGTGCGATAACCCTCTAGGCGTAGGAGGTATGTCCACCAAAACTCTCCATTCATCAACTGTCAACTGATGTCAAGTAGTTCATGAGAAGCCACTGTTTGGGAACATGACGGCGCATGAGCTTCTTATCACGATAGCTACCGCAAGCTCGATCATCGCAATATCCCTTTCGCTATATCTAGTCTATCGCCACCTGACAAACTACACGCAGCCGAAGTTGCAGAAACTGTGCGTTCTAAGCTGCCCTCCCCTACCCTATACGGGAGAAACTGACACAGCTTCATAGAATCATCCGCATCGTGCTCATGGTACCGATATATACCATTTGCTGCACCTTGAGCATTCCTTTCTACGAGTCTAGCGTCTACCTAGGCGCTATATACGAATTTTACGAGTCACTCGTCATCGCTTCATTCTTCCTGCTGCTCTGCAGATATCTTCATACAGACCTGCATTCAGTGCGACAACTCTTCTCCATCGTTGAGCCCCAGCCATGGGTGCTCCCGGTACGGATGTTTAGGAAATACGTGCTTCGGCGCAAGACGATCAATACGCCTAATGGCTCCAAGTACTTCAGCGTAAGTCTTGACCAGATGGTCACCCAGTGTGGAGTATTTCTGACACTTTATCCCACTACGTAACAGATCATCTGGGTTTGCATCCTCCAGTTTTGTGTCATAAAGTTCTTTGGCGCTCTTACGAAATGCATCACCGAAGCTCTCGACGTTTACTGCAAGACTTCCACCGATCCAAATCATGCTAGGATATGGGTGTGTAGCCAACGAGCTATCTCTAGATCGATGCTAATACACCTACGACACAGATACAGGTTATCGAGATCATCTCACTTATCACTGCTATGATCTGCCTCTTGCAATTTTACAAGCAAACTAAGCTCGAGCTCGCTGTTGATCGACCATTGTTGAAATTCGTAGCGATCAAGCTTGTGGTCTTCCTCTTCTACGTACAGAGCGTAAGTTACTTGACCGCGCAGTCTGATAGCACAGAAGGCCCTGACATATACAGTTTATATTCAGCCACCTCACGAAGAAAGGCGGCGCAATGAGTCCGACTGATAAGATCTCATATCCTTCCCTCGCTGTCGGTATCCCAAAAACTGTGTTGTGCTTCGAAATGGCACTGGTCTCGATGCTCCATCTATATGCATACCCGTATGACGTATTTCAGACGTACAAGGCAGTCGATAACTCAGAAGAGAGTGGCATCCGCGAGAGTCGCAACGGAGATGACGAAGCGATGGAACTTTCACCGCAGGAAGATCCGGTCATGTTGCCAAGGAAGATGCATTGGACAAAGGCCATCATACACGTTTTGAGTTTCAAAGACCTCTGGCGGGCACTTCTACACTCGTACCATAGTGTGGTAGATCATCGGCGAAAGCGAACAACGGCCCAGCATTCAGGGACGAATAACGAACGGGGCGTGGAACCGTTCGTGACGACTAGCCTGGCAGAAGCCTTGGATGTGATGAAAAGGCGCAACAACAACTGAGCAGCTTATTCTCAACTGAGCAAGGTGCAGCTCTATGCTTCAGCAAGATTATACAAACAGTCACATGATTCGAATAATTTGGTACTCCATAGTGTAAGCCTTTTACAAAGAAAGGGCATGTCAGAAGCGTGAGAACACCTCACGTCTTCATAGATCAGTACTTTTGTCCGTCCTATGCTTCTTCGTTTTCCGTGCCCACTATTTCTCATTCATGCAGATTAGAACGGCCCGAATCGAAGGTCAGCATACCGTATCTACCGTATACGCGCACGTCCCTGGTAGAAGGATCTAGTGAACGCTATACGAAGGCTGTGCACATCCACAGGGTCGATACCATACTATCTTGTTCGGACGAATCTAGGAAATCAAAGATCATGGCTTACGCAAAGCTTACGACGACAGCAGAAAAATCAGATGATAAGTAGACTTGATGTATTGCAATTTGAAACCGAACGTACGATAGATTTTGGAGAAGAGCATGCTTACATGTGCTCGATCGCGGCTTCCGTAGCTTTCAGAGCTCCGACGACAGCAAAGCAGATCATTGGCGTTATTGCGTAGCTAATGGTAAGGAACTTGGCAACAGTCATCTTCATCGACTCAGCTGCGCCCGTGACATCGGTCAGGGCTACTAAGATCATAGCGGGAGGACCGGTAGGCATCAACATCATCGAAAACCAAAGCATGGGGTCTGCATCGAGAAGTTTTGTTTTCGATGCGACTACCCAGATCAAGGGTATGCTTATCCTATTGGTAATTAGCCGGATGATCTTACTATGGCCACGGCGAAACTTACAAGGGCAAAATGATGAACCTAATCAAGGTGACAATTGCCAAACTTCCTTTGCGAACTTCACCACTATCCTCACCGCGCTTCATTCGCAGCATGCTCTTGCTGAGCTTTACTCCGACAACGATGATCTGGGTCGTAGCAAAGAGCTCGCCAATGTTCTTTATAGCGGTCGTAAGCCAAGCATTGAGGTATCCGCCCTCGTTGCTAGGACTGAAGAAAAGCCTATGGAGAGCCGGTGTGAGCCCAATGACTGCGCCGACAATGGCACCTAACAATGGAGCATTGGCAAACTGCCATGTGATGTTCAAAGTCTCTTGCAGCCATGGCGACAAATTATTGTACCACTTTTGTGTTTTGAGATACCCCTTCTTCTCAATGCGATTCGCGGGCTTGGTTATGCGCTGTGGGAGTAGCGAAGTCTCCTCGTCGATGATTCCTTCAGGGCCTCGCTCCATGTCACTGCTCTCGCCGTCCTCGTTTGCCTGACCGTTATCTTCGTCATCTTCTCCTTCTTGTTCGTCAGATGCATCCTCATCTCCCGGCCTTAGCAGACCAGGTCCAATAGCAAACGTCAGCGAGTTGCTGACCATGGCATTCACCAGAAAGTATGACTCGGCACGATCCATAGCCTGGCTGCCAGACTCGCCACCAATGAGGATAGCATCGAGAATTTGGGTTTGTTTGAGCGACTGGATGAGAAGAAGTGGAAGCGAAGTTGTGTTGTTGAAAGCGATGGCTGGTGCGACCCAGGCTGGTAACTTGAAGATGCGCGTGAGGAGGCGACCGACGAAGACAGAAAGTAGTGTATATGATATTGACCATACTGTCCGCGTAAGCTTTGATTCTGTCAACTGTATGGTGGGATTGAACTTACTGAGGACGGGCACATATCTTACGCCTGTGTCTTGATGCAGATTGGAGCCAATCTTATAGATCAACAGCGCCGGTAGAAACATGCGCACACATAGCTTCGAAACTTCCTTCGCCGCTTTGGGTGATAGTAAATTGCATTGCGCTGCAACAACACCGAAGGCGATGGTCAGAAGGACGGAGAAGGCAGCTTGGATAGCGCCCGTGAAAGGTACAATAAGTTCGCCTGCAGCCACACCCATGATTGCATTGACTGTAGTGGTAGGATGCTGGGGGAGGCTCCGCAGTGATTGTGTGGTGAGGAACGGAAAATCGGCACGATCTCGGTTCCAGGTCAGAATGATGCAACGCTCCAGCTAGTTCTTAAGCAAAAGGCTAGGGACATGGAGTTTAGCATCATCGTCGTCGCGCACGCGACATCTGCGCGTTCCTGAACCATGACGTCGGTGCAGCGGGCCAACGTCGAAGACGCCAATCCCACGCCGCGGCGCTATCAGTCGGATTAGTCCATCTTTCTCATGCTTTTTGCATCTTCATTGGGGGACGCGTAACTAGGCGCCAAGAGTATATGATGAGCTGTGTCTCGTACTCTGGGCAACTAGGTAGATTGCGAGCTGAGAGGTGCACATGGCGTCGATGGAAACCTGGCAAACTTGGTGGGTGTGGAGATTGACGATCGCAGATTGCACACGTGTGGGCCCGCGGAGGCTGGAGCTCCAACGCTAGCTCCGAGCTGCGGTTAGTCATCAATCCCCCTGCTTGACAGCTCGTCTCGGCCAGGCAGTTTCACACCTTCACATTTCGACAACTCTATGCGCTTGTCGAGAAGCAGTGGTAGTATTACAATATGTAAAAAAGGGAGTCTAGGTCTAAAGAACGCCGACTATGCAACGCTAGGAAATCTCTCTGATCACATTCTCGTCCACCTCCGCCGCAGCCTCGCCGGCTTATAAGCCGCCCCGTATCGGCTCCCGTGCATCGCATTCCCCGCCAAAGCTTTACGCCGCCTTCTTTGTAGCCTTGGTCCTCAACTTCATCATCAAGTACACCAGTGTGTAACTGCTCACTGAGAACAATACGACGATAGCAGCGTTTCTCCAACCATAGTATTCCTCCGCTAGGTTCAGTGTCCGCAGGTAGTCTGCTCCAGTCTTGTACTGGCATACGCGGCAATCGGCGGTGGCTTCTGGGTTGAGCAAGTTGATACCGACGCCCATACCCTGCTGATAGACTGAGAGGTACTCGCCACAGGTCTGGTTGGCAGCCGGATCGAAGATGGCGAGTTCGCTTGTCTTGCAGTCGACGTCGGCAGACCAGGTGGTGAAGACGAGGAGAGAGGACATCAGGTAATTGAAGGGGTCAAGGTAGTAGAGCCAGTACCTCCAGAATGGCTCGATCTGGCTGTAAGGCACGAGTACTCCGCAGAATGACACGAGAGTTGTGACGAAAAGAGGATTGACGAGTGAGGCGAACACCGCGTTGGGAGAGTAGGCGGCAATCATCTGTCCAATGCCGGTGTAGAGAAACTCGTAAACAAGCTGTGATTGGTCAGTGTCCGCATCAGATGATAAAAGATAGGGGATTTGCTTACCACAACGAAAAATGTGCTGCCAGCGTACTTCGCGGCGCCAGGAAGGCCAGCAGTGAAGTACCAGCACACATAGTACATGACCGCACATACTACCAGATACGGAAGTTCTGAAACGATCAGACCTGTTACGAACGGTGCCCAGTGGTATGTCTTGCTCTTCTTCTCACGTGTCTCGTAAACATCGCGACGCTGGATGAACAGCGGCTGCAGCTGGGAGATGACACCAGGAGCAACAAAGATAAAACTGAAGACAGTGAACAGTCGCAGCTGAAGGTCTTGAAGACTATCACCAATCATCCAGAAGGTGAAGCCGTTCAGCAAGGCCAGCAGGATGTGCATGAGCACTTTATTGTTGACGTACTCAGTATTGCGGAACAACGAGATGTTCATGCGGTGGGTGACGATCTTGACTTGCTCCCACATGGGAGCTGCGAATTGATGGCCATCATCGACGGTACCTGGTGGCTTAGCGGCGGCCTCCGCGACGATGTTGTCGAGCTCTTCAGTCATCTTCTCATGCTGGGGCGACTCAAGCCAAACCTTGTTCCAGTCAGTGTCTTTAGACAGACTACCGGAGACAACCTCGATCATGTGTTCGGCAGGGTTAGCCTCGCGTGGACAAGGCGCTCCGTGGCTGGCAAAGTAAGACTTGACTGTGCTTGCATCGTCACCAATGTCGCCAAAATAAACTGTCTTGCCGCCCTTTGCGAGCAAAAGGAGGGTATCGAATTGCGCAAAAAGCTGAGCTGACGGCTGATGGATCGTGACAAGGATCGCCTGTCCGACCTCTGCGAGCTTGCGTAAGAAGCGCACAGTGGTGAAAGCAGCTTCTCCATCCAGACCAGACGTCGGCTCGTCAAGGAAGATCAGAATGCTAGGCTTCGAAACTAGCTCGACGCCGATTGTCAACCGCTTACGCTGCTCTATGGAGAGACCAGCACCAGGTTGGCCGATTAGGGTATGCTCAATGTCATGGAGTTGTAGGAGGTCGATAATGGTGTCAACATAGCGAAGCTTCTCCTCTCGTGGTGTTTCACGAGACTGTCGGAGGAGAGCTGAGAATTCCAAGGCCTCACGCACTGTGGACAACGATTCGTGTACGTCCATCTGTTCAACATAACCTGCCGATCGCTGGAATGAGACGGGAAGGTCGCGCCCATCAACCATGATAGATCCACGGATCGTGCCGTCGGTCTTGCGTTGGGCGAGAACATCCAGTAGTGTTGTTTTGCCAGCCTTGAGAAAAGTGTTAGCATCAAGACGCATACGAGGACTCTAGATTGTTACTTACGCCTGACGATCCCATCAAGGCCCCGAGAGTACCTGGCTTCACAAAACCTTGAACGTTGTCGAGGAGGACGCGATCACCTGAAGGGGTCTTGACGGTGTAAGTAAGGTTCTTCCACGTGAAGATAGAAGTGTTGCGGATGAGTTGGTTGGCGAGTGATCCGTCGGAGCTGGAAGACTCAAAGCTGGCTTGTGGCTTCTCAACAGCTTGCGACTCCTCATCATTAGCTTGGATATGCTTGTTCTTCTTCTGCTTCTCCCTGGGAATGAGGAGTCCACGTCCACCTTCGCCCATCTCCTTCCACCTTGAGGTGAAGACAATAGTGACTGCGACGAAGAATACCCACCATGCGAAGATGATGCCGACGTTGCGCCAGAGATGGCTATGGCTGAAGGACATAGAGGCAAGATACTGATCTCCTGTAAGTGTGCTCGCTCCGGGTTGAGCGCCGTTGACACCCATGCATGACTGGCCGCCTTCACCAGGTACATATCCTGGTCCGTTAGGAACCAGATTAGGGCCCACACACGGTACCTGTGCGTTGTGGAACTCGTTACCAAGCAAAGCTTCGAATCCATAAGACATCGGGTTGATCCAAAAGATCCACACGAACCAATCCTTCATTTCTGGCTTGATGATCATGTATCCCATGTACATGAAGAGTCCTGAAACGAGAAGGCCTGAAGCTTTAGTCGCTGCGTCGAATGTCGGGAAAGCAGCACCTATCATTCGGAAACACGCAGTCATAGCCATGGCTGATGCGAAGATGATGATCCAGAATGTGAAGAAAGCTGATGCAGTAGTCTCGAGTCCGACCATAAAGTATATGACGATTCCAAAGTGCGTCATCTGGAACAGCATCAATGGTATGTCAGTAGCAATCTGGGCGATGACAAAAGCGGCAGGGTAGTGCATGGCGAATGATCGATGCTTAGCCAAGACAGGTCTTCCGGTAAAAGAGTCGGTCACCTCCGAAAGTCCCATATAGGCAGGGTACAGAAGACAGAAGAACAATGCACCACCTTTGAGGAAGAGACCAGCTGAGTGGTCTGGCGCTTGGTAGAACAACGATCCAGCGACGAGAGCTTGGATGAGAGTAGAGACTTGCTTTACGACGAGCACAGGCTTATCACCCCACAATATCTGATACTGCCGAGTGACTGCCGTCTTGACCTGAGAGTAGAAGCTCGTGGTTACTGTGGTGTTCTTTGGAAGGCCCTTGTGCTTGTCCCGAGCTTCCATCTCCTTGAAGTCGATCGTGTTCTGCTTCGCTTCGTCGCTTTCGGGGTAATCAAGTTCCGCCACCATTGTGGCCTTGATGGATGACTGTTCGTACGCTGCTCGTACTTCTTCGCCGTTCCGCGGAAACCTCTTCTCGAAGCCTTCGGCGATGGCACGCACGTCTGGGGTTGTGACGCTGGTGAGGAAGTCGGCTTGGTTCGCTGCTGGATCGCAGAGGAACCCAAGATCTTGCATGAACGGAACAGCCTCTTCCCGCGGGCCATAGTAGATCTGCTTGCCCTCATCGAGGATGAGCACCTTGTCAAACTGCTCATAGATGCCGTTACCAGCTTGATACAAGGTTGCAATAGTAGTCAATCCGAGTATGTCGGTCATGGCACGCATAGCTTTTGTCCAATCCAATGCTGTTCCAGCATCGAGACCTCTGGTAGAGTTGTCCCAGCAAAAGACGCTGCCGCGCGTAGCAAGACATTCCAGGATGGAAACCCGCTTTCGCTCACCACCGGACACACCACGGATGTACTCATCTCCAACCTTGGTATCATGCGTGTGCTCAATACCGAGAGATTTCAGCAGGAACTCTTTGTACACCTTGGCGTATTCTTCGTGGGTTGCGATGTCAGGTGGAAGGTTGTAGGGGACCTTCATACGCGTCGCGAAGTCAAGGGTAGCGCCCACAGACATGGTAGGGAAGAAGATCTCGTCCTCCGTGTTCATAACTGCGTTCAGGTTAGCATCCACAGTGTCGCATCATTTGATAATACGTACTTATTTGACCACGATAAGCCTTAGCTTCGTCGCTGGACATGGAACCGAAGGAGACGTCGCCCTCGATCTCAGCGTAACCTAACCGGTGATTTGATAGGATATTGAGCAGTGATGTACAACCGGCTCCCGGATTACCCAGGACAAGGAGCATCTCTGCGATGTATTAGCACTGCTCTTCCTTCCATATTCTCAATGTAGATGCGACATACCTCCGGGCTTCACGCATCCATATGAATTATCAATGATAGTCTTCATTGGAGCATTCTTTCCGCTCTTTCCGAACGGATTTAGTTGCGACAGTACATTCTCGTTGAAGAGGGCATCGTTGCTGATGCCCTTGACCGTGAGGTTCTTCCATGTCACACCCAGCTTTCGGGGCTTTCCGCCATTTGCCTCGTTACGCTCCCTGAGTATCTCGACTTCCCGAGTGATTGGCCATGTTTCGCTGTCGTTCGGAGAACTCTTGTAGGGGGTTATGGAATTTTGGTCGTCGTCGACACGCTCGGTACTCGACCCAGAAAGGGGAGTTTCTGACTGCATCGGGTATTCGGTATTGTACAATATGAGGTATGTGAGGTATTTGATCAGAATGAACTGATATTATTATACAGAAAGTCTAAAAACGGTGGTATGAAAGACGAGATAGTGAAAAGTTGATGCTTGAAACTGGAGAGAGGCCAGAACTGCCCATCCATATAGCCAAATGCCAGATTGTACTATCTACATTATCTCTGTCATAGATCTGAAAATACTCCGTGCGCCATCTTGCGAATCGCTTGGCCGGAGGGACGTCAAACCGCATATCTTTGTTGCGTAGACAGTATTTGGAGAGTACGGCCGTAAGGCTAAGGTTGAAGTGACGAATGTACTTTTTCGCGCTATTCGGGCCGTTGGGTACGGCCACGAGAGTCGGAGGATCAACGCGCCGCCCTGTATCTAGCCCCGACTATGCGCCTTAAAACAGATTGGAAATCTACCCAGTATTCGCGGGGGTCCGATTACTGTGGTGCCTACTCTTTGGCTTACGGACGTGCTTATGGTAAATACATCGTGTCTATTTCCTGATCCGTTGTCGCGCGAGATTTAATAATGTACCGAATAGTAATCACCCGCGTGCTTTTTTCATGTGCTTGAAGACCTTTCTTACCTAAGTAGCGCAATTACGCTCGCTGGGCGGCATGTCAAGCCATGGACACAGGAAACACCCATTGATTAAAGCGCACTACGTGCTACAAAATTCAGGCGACAATCATGCAGTAGATTGTATGAGCTACTTTGCGGATTTACGCATCATTGCGACAAAGCACGGTCGCTATCTAGGTGCGACTTCATAAAAGATACTTTTCCTTGTGGATCGCGACTGTGAGAGCATGCCGAGAGCTGATGCGAGACAAACTTGGGAATGCTTACGTCATGGAGCGGTAGACATCGGCCCATTAGAATCCCCTTGATAGCTGCCTATCTCCCGTCGTTCAACATCACGGAACAACGTGCAACTAGTGTACCACGCACGGCGGTAACGATAGCGATGCTCACAATGGGATCATCAATCTTACTTCTGTATGCATGTGCTTACATGAGACGGCTCCGAACAAAGTTCACGTGGGGTTCTGACATTCGGGTCACTCGATGAGTCATGTGATGGATTGGGAAGCGAGTATATAGACCTGTTGTATTGTACAATGTTGCAACGGCAGTTATCTCATCAACACACTGATTCGGATTAGATGATTGGCGTTTTGCTTCAACAGACACTGAATGGCATGATTAGCGGCAAGCTTTGCACGTGTATTCCGTACCAATGTTAAGCTTGCTAAAGAAACACCAATGAACTATATACAAGATGTAGTATAACGCTTTGAGCTAGTCTCACTTCTCATTGCTTCTTGTTAAAAGTCAGCGTCAAACAATCACAATTGCTCATGTACTCACACCAATGGCATTATCCTCGACTGACCGCTCCCTTCATGTTCTTAGGCCGGTGGAAGCTGCTGCACTTCCCTAGACTGTTAGCCGGAGAAGGACAGAAGTGCCGACTGCGAGGAAGTCCCACATCTGACATGCTCACAGAAATGAATCGCTACCGTAGAAGGACGATCGACGAAAGGGGCTTAGTCTCCGAATAGTAAGGCCCACAGCTAATCTCCTTTTGATTTAACAGGGATGAGTACCACATGTAACGAGGAAATTCCGCGCCCTTAGCTCTGACCGTTACGTACACTCTGGCGTTCATCGTGAGGAGTGCCATGTGTGCTTTCCCATGGTGCAGCAACCGTAAGTTGGTATACAGATGGCGAAGAAGGGCGTGTCGATTTTCGGCTATGCACTGTACTCCAGAGGCCTCGCTAGCAGCGTTATCATATGATACTCAAAGCCTCCTCCCATAGCCGTCGAAATTGTTCTTCCGCATGCTGTGTCTTGTACCAAAGCACGCCTTTGATGCATTGAGAAATTCCATCCCATGAATACAACTCTAAGTCACGAGCAATAGGTATAGCTTTCGTAGTGAACCAGGCACACGTCAACGCGTCCTGTGATGCGACCATTCCAACGGTCAAAATCCACAAAGCCAGAGGTCCATGTAAAAACGCCGATGTGGGTGGAAGACTTCCGAGATCGCTTTTGAGTTCCATGACCAAGGAGGACTGCAGATGCATGTGCGAGAAGTAAGTTGGTCCGTGAACGATGAGCATATACAGTGCTGTAGCATATTGAATGCAGTGAGATGTCGAAATCAAGCTTGGGTTCCCAGGTTGTGATGTGTCCGGAGACCAGGCCAAAAGCTTGTGTAGGATGTAGCATGTCAAATCATGGAGATCCGTAGTTGAGAGCTTGTGCTCATGTGTTACGTGAAATAGATGGTGCAGTCGCAGGAATACGTCCCTGATAGAAGGATCCAGCTCGAGATTAAGAAAGCCGGATGGAAGCTGACCTCGAGAGATGGCTTGTGAGTCGAGCCACTGAGGTATTGGTGCTATTCCGTCACCAAGGTGTAAATTATCCTGTACCTTGAACTGCGGAGTTTGCTTAAGTATCATGGAAACCCTAGCAGTGAGGATCAGTATAGTATGCACGGAGGGCGGGAAAGCAGCTGAATAACTTACCAAGCAACCATGCGTGCCGTGAGAGGGCTTGTAATCTTCAAAAGATGTATTCCTCCTCGCAATCGTACCATCTCCTTAACGCCGTCAATGTGCATACTACCGACTGTCGTGTTACCTTTACCATACTATATTGCCAGATGTCAGCCGATCACATGCAATGAGTATCTGAGTCCAGAAAACCAGCATACCTCTATAGCTGCAAGTGTAACAACCGAATCCATAGTTTCGTCTTGAGAAGCCAATAGCGGGTCGTTGACCCGTCGCCGAACCAACGAGATAGAATCTGCCATGAGGACTTCTGAGTTCTCGAAGCCTTTCTGAGCTCTCAGCTCAATATCTAAGGATGCAGTCTGGAGGCTGACATGGAAGAGAGCTGGGTCTTGCAATGCAAGAGGCCACCACGACACAACGAACGGGTTGGACGTTGGTTTGAGATCCAATGGATAGTACTGAAAGGCGATGTTTGACAAGACTAGCCTTGGTCAGTCATGATAGAAGATGCACAAGATTGAATGCAGCATCTTCATAGCGCGAGTATGGTAGCTGCGCCAGCATGACTTCATTACTTACAGTGCATGATCAGTTGCTGCACACGAGCCCGAGGTAGTCTTGTTGTTGGATGGGCGTCGAACGGATCGAAAGCTTGACTTCCGGGATCAACCCATAGTACTGGGGAGGAGAAAGATTCTTTCTGGACGACATCTGCGTTATGAGAGTATGTAGTCTCGGGGGGCGACAAGGTAAGCGGCTCGTTGGCATAGACACAGTTGGTTTTCTTCTTGAAACATCGTGAGCATTGAGGTGTGCGAAGATCGCAGCTCAACTTGGATCTCGCACACGCATCGCAGGATCTTCTGAGCGTCCTGCGCATATCGAGATGAGATTCCGAGGTTCAAGCATGACTTCTGGGCATGGAGGAGAGACGGGGCCCAGCGCAGCGGGAAGTCGCGGGTCACTCGCTTATGTTAGCGTCGACAAGGATTGATGAGACGGTGTCCCCGTGCCCATCACGCCGATTGTCCAACATCTGACAACGCGCACTCTTCCTGGCTCGTGCAACGTTCGTATTCCGAAGATGATGAAGTCGATTACCTCTATCAATTCTGAACCTATAGCAATTGGACAGTGTAGGAGCGTGAGGCCGTTAGTTGAATGAGAGAGATTTTGGCCCGAAGACACGAATGCGCAATAGTCCTGCTAAATGCGAGTAGTAAAACGCCTCGTAAAGCTTCGAATTATCTTACTCAGTTTCCAAGCATGCCATTGTCCAGATGCAAGCGCATCGCATGGTCCTAATCATCCGTCGATAGCTCGATAGCTTTCAAACCGATTTCCTGTTGAACACACCAATCACGTTACAAAACCACAGTGAGTTTGGTAAATAAACATCGAGCGTCACATTGCTTGCAAACCTCAAGATCAGCCCTCAAATGTCTAATACGAAGACCTTTTTTACACAAGGAAACCCTCTGCTCATATAATCTATTTCTCGGCTCCTAATACAGTCAATCGCGACCCTGATCGCCACCCGGCCAAATGCACCGCAGATCTCGCCCTTCCAGAAGCCCAACCATCCTCATTTTACGATATTGCGGGGAAGCCCAGAATAGTCCAACCGACTATCAAACACGCTGTCCTTGATGCTGGTGATACCGGAGACGAGGGTCATTAGGCCTGGGTTGCGGCTCGCTTAATATGGGTAAATATGCATAGTATGCGGTCGAGAGTGGACGGAACGGCTATTGGATATTAGTAGTAAAGGGATGGCAGAGTGCTATACGGTGGCCAGAATTCGTGTTGATCTAGATATGATGCAGATCTCGTGAAGAAGCTTGAGACGGCAGCAGCGAAGCTAGACTAGGCGCAGGACATATAAGAAGAGAACAGAATCACGATCGTTGCAAGAACACATCGAATATATACACATGACCTCCCATCAAGCTCATCATCATTTGACTTAGAGACCCGTATCGCGCTTCAAACATCGCTGCACCATCAGTATAACAATTTAGACTTCACCCCCATCGCCACCAATGCGGTCCCTACTCTCACTCGCCACCCTTCCGCTCTTAGCCCTCGCCGCCCCACCTTCTTCTCCAACAATAACGCGCATCGTCTTCTCTGGCTCAGGATGTCCTAATGACTCGGGTTCCGTCAAGACAGATAGCGCAACTCTCAGTGACACCGCCGGCGTCTCCTTCACGCAACTCAAGGGCGACTCAACAGACAACTGTGCTGTGCACATTGAGTCGGCCGGGGCTAGTTCCGGCTGGCAGGTCGCTGTCCGACAGGTTGATTATGTCGGCGATGTCAACTTGAAGGGAAACAGTGGGCTGGATACGTACACGCAAGTCTTCTGGAGTGAGAATGCTGGGAATACTGTAAGTTTGTTGATTTCGGTAAGACATATAACATGCTGATCATCTGTAGGGCGTACTTACCGGCGGTCTTACATGCGCGGGTCCTGAGATCAAAGACTACATCACTGTACGAAGCAGCACTGCGGACCTTAAGTGGTCGAAGTGCACTGGTACGGACGGAAACCCCGGTATCTTAAATGTCAATTTCAGACCAGTCATCCAAGGTGACTTTGGGACGTATGATTTCAAACACGCTGCTTGGAAGCTAGAGTGGCGGAAATGCTAAAGAGTCGGACAGGTTGCGCATGAGAAGAAACATAGGAATGTATATAGATAGTGTGGTGTTTTTAAAGCAAAATGTAACGATAGGACACATTGATGCAACTCTTGTTTTTCGTTCTTCCGACCGCACCTGAACTCTCCCTGTTCATCAGTATTGCAAAGTCAATCCGGGAGAGAGAAATCGGTGTCCCCAGAACCAGTCTCGATTGGCGCATCTTCCGGTGCCCCAGTTTGCGGAAGGCCTAACAGGAGATCAGCACATGCAATAGTCCAGCATCTCACTCAGATTGGATGTCCCGTCCCTGTCCCGTATTCAAAGCACGCAAAGATAGCCTTGCGATAGTATGGCAATAGCTGGAGCGGTGGTTGAACGCGGCGTGACTGTTAACGACCGACGCGTCTAGCGCGATTTAATCATGAACCAGCGGACCGACGTCATCATAGGTATTGCGACCAAGATACCAACCACCTGCATTATCATCCACTTCACATTGCCCACAACAACATCTAGGTTGCGAAGTCTGTTAAACACTAATATTACACTTACTAAACAAGCCTTAAACAAATATAGCCGGCAATGATCTACCAGCTCCGCACTCAGCGGAATTCCGCACGTTTGGCATCCTTTCGACAAGGGGCTTGTGTGCGCCTCTCTCCATCGACTTGATCCGTTGGTTCGTGACACCTTGACCAGCCGCGAATAGTTTTAGTCACTGGCGCAATGAGAGACGCGTGTCGGGTTGGTAGCGACTCATGGCGGACATCCGCAATAGGCAGCCATGCAACCTCACCTTTCAACTAGCAGTACTTCTATTGTTGAATCGAATCAATACTGACTTGACGCAACACACAATTCCAGCGATGCAAAACACTTCAGCTGGTAAGAAATCACAACCCGTACAACAATTCCTGCTAACAATGACCCCAGAGTTGGCTTTTAGGGCCTTTATAGAGGACAAGTTCTGCTTCGCCCTTCCCCTTGATCTCGTAGACAACAGAATCGAAGCTCATGCCCCTATACGTCAATATCATGAGTCTTTTCAACTAGAGCTGAATGAGCTTGAAAGCAACCTCGATACATCGAAGCCAGCCTATATCGTTCTCCGCCGTGGCGACTCGCTCACATTCATCACATATGTGCCATACCGTGCCAAGGAAGAACTTCGAAACCTTTTTCTCGAACGCAGACACAGTGTCGTACAACAACTCGGCGCAAGGTATATATCATACTCAATTATATGCAAGGAAATTGCGGAGATCACAGATGCTCGATCCTGGGTAGAACGAGACGCAGAGGCTCTCTCATTGAGTACTAAAAGGATCCAATGCGATAAAAAGGAGTCATGTGGTTGCTCTGAGCATAGTAAGAGTGATCTGGAAGACGTGGAATACAGGAAGAACAAATGTCGGCTTTGTGATCGTCGCATGAAGAACAAGATCTCTTCTGAAGCTCTGGAGGCACTGAGGGAGCTACAGACTCCATGTACAGCCGTGCAGATGGTATGGTACCCCTTTTCAATACGCACATTCATTATGAGCGCTAACCTATTCCAGTTCGTTGACGTCGCCACCGAAACTCTCGAACTGAGCTACATCAGGAACGGCATCATCCCCGAACATGTCGCAGCGACACTCCCGAATGATAGGCCCAGCTTTACCTTCTATCGCCATCCAGATACCCAGCTACTCTACTTCATATTCCATTCCCCCGACGATGCCACAGTCCAGGAGCGTATGAAGCACATAATGGCTATACCAGGCCTCATCAACGTTCACTCTCATGATCGAAATGTTCATGTAGATCAGAAGATCGAAATACACGATCCAGATGACTTGGTTTTTGGAGCCAAAGATGAGCGTATTGGCAGATTTAGGAGTGTATATTTAAGGAACAAGTTCGAGGGAACGGAGAGCACGTACGACAATCTGGAAGCAGACAAGACCTTTTATGACAAGGTCAGATAGTTTAAGCACCATCCCTGCTATCAATCTTCAAGCTCTTCTTCATATCCGTCACATTTGCTGACGACAATCAACCTGCAAACCTAATTTGAAACGTTTCACGATCAATTGGCGTCCAGAAATCTTCTACCCGGCCATTGATCCCATCTGCACCAACAAAATTATCCATCAAACACCCGTCCATGATATTGACAGTCTCCACCCAAACATCCATCTCACGAAAGGTATACCGATCATGAAGGTGGAGCCGTTGTAACCCATTATCTATGGTTCTGCTCAAAACGTCGTACCTCTCGCCTACCACGTTTACTCCTAGATATTGGTGTGCTAATTCCAAGTTATGGAACATGTATAGCACCTCCATACCTGCTTGTTGATCTAGGTTCCGAAGGATGAGGTAGCCTTTGGGTGGTTGAACAGACATGAGGGAGTAAAGAATGAGAAAAAAGATGTAGTCAGAAGATTACAACAAAGACCAGGTAATCATGACGTTAAATAGCGGTACGAAGCATGAGGATAGTAGCAAACTGACTAGACATCATCTTCTAAACCTGTGATTAGATAGTTGTTGGTTTGACCTTCAAGTTATGATGAATCAGGAGCTTCCCTATCTCTACTATGCTGAGCAATCAACTTGCTTATTCCGTCCTTCCCGTTTACACCACTTTTGATGTTCTCGAAGCATCCGTCTACAATGTCCGCACATTCGACCCACACAACTATGTCCCTCCCATCGATGAGGCGAGCTCCTCGTTTCTCTATATGGAATCTTCTTAGCCAATCAGCACTTGTCGCCCCGCCTGTAACACGATACGATATCGGAAGTTCCCCGACGTACTCATCCAGGTAACGATCTGCTTCGGTCAAACTGTTGGACTGGTATAGTATAGTCGGTAAAGCATCGTCTGGTTTTTCGTAGAAGACTATGTAAAGTTTGGGTCGTGGTTGTTCTAGCATACTGTTGGATACTAAGTGTGGTTGTAAGAAGTCAGTGTACATCTCACATCCACATCGTCAGGAGCACTTACGATGGCTAGGGGTTGAGCGAAACAAGAGGGTGAGGAAGTGATTGAGAGTTTGCAATAAGTTAGGTCACTGGTGTTGAGAGAAGGAAGCACATAGACAAACGCATACGGTTCTCCCCCTACTAGTCTCCTTTCACTGTACGACCTGATGAGCTGCAAACAATGCATCGAAGTATCAGGAGTTGTCTCGTTCTATAGCGTGATTCTCGTATCCTATGGTATCGTACAGCGCAACTACCCCGAATGCTAAATGTTGATTATAACGCCGCTGCTTGTATGCAAGTGTATGCCCCCGGAATGCAGTAGAGATGATAAAGAAGTATATAACGCGAAGATGGTACACGCCTGATGCAAAAGTAAAGACCAAAACAATGAAGACAATGCACGCATACTCCTCTTCTGAAGCAGTCGCTATACCCCTCTCTTCAGCGCAATCGTGTGTACACATGGCCTATGCCTGAACGCATGTCGAAGCCTTGTAGTGTACAAGATTCCTCTTTATCTACTCTCTTGTCTTATGACCAAATGTATGCTGCCTGGAAGATCAACGAGTTTACATTGTCTTCCTCACACGCCTCCTCTTTCTCCTACTATCAACCTCTATACTTGAGCTCATGGTATCCCTCGCACTCCTCGGTGTTGAAAAGCGTTCGCGGATATGCTCTCGGATGACCTTCTTAGTCTTATCGCGCTTCAGTTGGCGCTCTTGATCCGGGTCGACGAAGCGATGAACAGTGCGGTGGTCGCGAATGCGCTCCTCTTTGTCGTGCTTGCCTTCTCTTTCAGTCTTGGGCCAGGGAAAGCCATAGAGCTTCGAGTGGCGTTCGCATCGTGGGCACTCTTTACGCGTGTTGTAGCCGTCCTGCTGAACGAAATCTGTGTCGCATGTTTGGCAATTAACCCACTTGGAGTATTTGGCTGAGAGAAGAGCGTTTGATGTCATGTAGTCACCTGGCTTTCGTGTATTCTCGACATAATCGGCTTCGTCCCCCTCTTCGATCGTGATCGGCGTCCCGACGCGGTTCTGAACGTCGAAGCGCGATTTGGAACGTGTCGTGCGTAGGGTAGGTCGAGGCTTGCGCTTGACAATCTGCTGGTTCACGTCGTCAAATTCGAAGCTCTCAGAAAGTTCGCTGAGATCGGACATGTATGCGTCTTCGTCTGCAGGCGGGGAGGGCCACGGGGCGTTTACCGTTGTCGTAGTAATTTCCTCCTTCACTATGGCCACCCCAAGCGCTGGGCGATCTTGTATCGTCTGAGGATCGACCTTCTCCTTATGATCGCTAACTTCGTGTGCATGATCTTCGTCTATCGATGTAGCATCTGTAGACGAATGAGTCGACTTGGGTGAGGCCGCCGCTATAGATGACTGTGGAGACGGTTCCCGTGACGAGCTGATCAAATCCGTGTTTACTGTCAGAAGGCCCTCATGCTGCTGGTTGCGATTCTCGTGCGATTTTTCTGGCGATTCCTCCAAGCTGGTCGCCGGGTCTTCGACACTCGACACTGGGAGTTCCTGGCGCAACGACGATGTGCTATGTGCCTTCTTGAGCGTCGTTTTCCGAAGGAGATTGGATGTGTGCTGCTTGTTTGGTGAACTCTTTTGCTCGAATCTTGCACGTTTCGGGGCTGGTGTCGAGTCGCACGAAGGATCCTCTTCTGTAGAGTCAACTCGTGGCCTCTTGGCGGAAGAAGAGATAGTTTCGGAGGCGGTGTCGTCTGTATGTACTTCGTCTGTGACCTGCATCTCATCTTCGTTCTCGCCGTCGTTGAGTTCAACACGCTTCATGGGCGCCCAGCCGTTTTGCTGGAGACTTTCGCAAGTATTACACAAGCACTCTTCGTTATCGTCACCAAAATAATCCTCGCCATAAGAGACTGTAATCTCCTCTCCTTCAAGAATGGGCTTCACTGCGACAATCTGCATGCCATCGTAGCCCTTGGTTGTGAGCTTTGCGTTGGCGTCGCAATCGTGGTTGGCGAAGCGCGCGGGGCCTAGGAACAACGAGCGCGTTTTCTTCCTACTGGAGATCACCAAACTGAAGTCTTTGCGCGCCAGCTCCAACACCTTCTCTTGCTCCTCTGTCATTGCCACTTGCACTCCGGTCAAGTACTTGATTTCCTCGCGGGGGTTGATGTCTCTTCGCGCGGTGATTGAAGCCTCGTGTTCGGTAATCATATAGCGGTTGGTGGTAGTGACCTCAAATTGGCAATCTGACATGTAGATGTTGACGTATCTCCGGAGATGTCGCCTGAATTGGTCCTGGTCCCGCTCGTCCTTCAGACTGTTCACGAACCTGCGCAGTCCTGGCAACTGCAACAACTTGTGCACTGCCTCGGCTGGGTCTTTCTCCCAGACAACGTGTTGCCGGATGATGTCGGCAACATCTTCCTCGTGTAGCCCTCTTGATCCCGTGAATCGGCCGCCTCTGTTCTTGCGAATCTTAGCCCAGAAGTACAGCTTGTCGACAAGCGCGTCGGTGATGATGTCGTCGAAGGTGGCAAGCTTGTCCAGCGTGAGTTTCGTTGAAGGCGCCATGATCGCGTGACGCGGTGGTGAAATGAGGTCGAGGGTGTATGCGCCAGCGGCCGTGGGTCGTGGAGATCGTGAGGAGTCGTAGGGTTTCGTGATTAAAGGGGTGGTTGGTAGGGCTGACTGACGTTCTTGTAGCCAGGAACGCAGCGACAACGCATTCACCGTCAAAGTACAATAACAGGGACACGAAAAGGAGAGGGAGCGCCCCAGACAATAGCAGCGATGCGCGCAAGGAGAGGAAAGAGCGACGGGCGCAACCGCTCACCCGACGAGTATGTGCGGGAGTAAGTGACCTCGACAAGGCTCGCGGCGCTCAATATCCCTGTACTCAGCCGCCCTGCTTATGGAGACGCGCATAGGCACTTGCGCTGGGGTGAAAGCATAAGCGAGAAGACTGGGGTGACGGCGCAAGCCGCCGAACTGCCAGAGAAAGCCCGACACTACGACTTGCAACTTTGATGCTGCCGACCTAGACAACCACCCCACTGCACAACCACAAACAGCGCGCATCTTGGCAGGCAGTCGTAATCGCAATTTCACAACAAGGCACTCAAGATGATTCAATTAAAGGTGTGCCGAATCCGGCGATCAAGGCGGCAGAGCAAGGACTGATATCCGCCCTTCTAGACCCTCGTAAATTGCATCGACAACTCAGGCGCCGCCATAGTCGAATGTGTCAACGTCCTCCGATCGAAACGCCCCGCGAAAGTCGGTACGTCTAGTGCACCGTGGCAGGGGAGTCATGCTCGCAACAAAAGCTGATGGAAGCAGGCGACCGCATAGTAGTAGTCGTAAAGAAGCAGCGAAATTTCGGTCCGGAAACCGGTAACAGCGTCTCCATCAGCGCAGCGAACAAAGTACGACGAGGAGATGTACGACACGCGGTCGTAGTACGGACAGCGAAGAAGTGGCAGAGACCGGACGGCAGTGTAGTCAAGTTCGACGACAATGCCTGCGTGCTGATCAACAAGGCTGGCGAACCTATTGGATCCAGAGTCAGTGGTGTCGTTGCGGCGGAACTGAGGCAGAAGCAGTGGTCAAAGATCTTGTCGCTAGCGCCCATGCATGTGTAATGACATATGGTTGGTCCTATACACGTATGACGGCATGGCCGTGGGGTGAAAGATGCATTTTTGGGAGTCTATGGAGCGCTTTGGAATGTAACATTATGTGTATGCCACTAAACTATACCCACGGGTATCTGAAGACCGCTTTTTCCTGAACTCCTCGCAGTAAATGTTGTGAGAATAAACGCCAGCTACATGCATTCATATCTTCGTCCTCCTAGCTATCGGACGGGCGCGAGACGTGACCACATCCGGCGCACACGTAGTAAAGGGCCTAAGAGAGTCAGGATAGCTCGTGAACTTGTCCGGAATACTTACCATGCCCGTCTCGGCGGTCCGCTGCTGCGACTGGAAGAAGACGGCTTCATTCTCGCCGCACTCTGTGCATTGTTTCTGGATACGCGGTAACTAGACACGGGTACAGTCAGCGAGCACGCTCAAGAGCAAGCAAGCAACTGTACTGGTGGGAGACGCAGGGGGCGCTTTCAAGACGTGGGTTCGTCCCACATATCTTCATCGTAATCGTCGTCGTAATCTTCAAACATCTCATCCTCCTCGCGCATCTCCTGCTGGGGACGCTCTGCCTGCGGGTCCTCGTCCTCGGCCTCCAGCGCAAAGCCAGGAGCCGATTCCTCGCCGCACTCCTGGCACATGATGGGCATGCCACACATGGTGCAGCAGGGCATCTCCTCAGAAAGAGCGGCCTGGGCAGCTTGGGCATCAGACAGGGAGTAACCAACCGTGGGATCCTGAGCAACCTCGGCTGTGACACCGGCTGTGGCTCCGACTGTGGACGCGATTTCGTGGCGCATAACGCAGGATGAGGGCGCTTCTTCGGTGAAGCTGCATGTGCGGCAGGCGAAAAGCAGCTTGTTCTCGGACTTGTCTTCGCGGGGGAACAGCAAGTTGGAACTACACTTGGTCAGCGATGATCTTTGTCGCAGGGGACCTCGACAGGCTGCTCACCATTCTGAGCAGAAGCGGAAGAGAATGGGCTCCTTGCCGCCCTTGGAGCCTCCCATCTGTGCTGCTGGAGACGCCATGTTGGGTGCGGATGTGGTGGGTGCAAAGGTCGTAATTCGTGTGTGCTCGTGTAGCGAGTGCAGTCGTGTCGGTCGTATTATTGCGCGTGTCGAGAAAAGTCGAGAAAAAGTGTATCGCGAAAGAGACGTCAGTGTCAGAGTCGGCGCAGAGTCACGTTGGTGAGCGCGGGCCACCCGTCTTGATTCGGCTGCTGTTGCTGTGGTGCAGAGCCGCGCTCTTTGTTTGTAAGGCGCCCCCGCATTATGACCTTGAAGCGCCGATCGCCTTGTCCACCGCCTGCAATTCTAGACGTCGCTCCACGCTGCCCGTATAACAACCGTGCGGAGACTCCTATCAAGCTCTGCACTACTTGCGCTCTACCATAGCATACTCCATTCTACTTTTACAGAAACAACATCAGCAGAAATGGTAAGCATCGCGCCTCGCAATCCAGCTTACCTTATGCACCAACTCACGCGTTGCAGTCGTCCGCCGAGACTGGACTCCCTGAAGGATGGGAGGTGCGCCGCTCCAACACAAAGAACCTCCCATACTACTTCCACGCCCAGACAAAAGACTCGCGATGGGAACCACCACAGGGAACAAACCCAGACAAGCTGAAGGCGTACATGGCTGCCAACCACAGCTCCAAGGGCGTCGCACCGGCAGCCGTCGCAGGTACTGAGGGCAAGATCCGATGCGCCCATCTCCTTGTCAAGCATCGCGACAGCAGACGCCCGGCTAGTTGGCGGGAACCCAAGATTACGCGCTCAGTGGAAGAAGCGCGGACGATGATCGAGAATTACCACAAGCAGATCCAGGCCTACGAGGAGGGAAAGGAGGACCCTAACGCCAAATCTCTGTCGGAGCTTGCAACCACCGAGTCAGATTGCAGCAGCGCTCGCAAGGGAGGAGATCTGTAAGAAGTTGCGACGCTGAAGACCTCGGGAGAAACACTAACGTCACCAGGGGCTTCTTTGGCAGGGGCGACATGCAGAAGGAGTTCGAGCAGGCTGCCTTTGACCTGGAGAAGGGCCAGGTGAGCGGCATGGTCGAGACGGCTTCGGGCGTGCACTTGATCCAAAGGTGGGACGGCTTTCACATGTCTCAGTATGGTGCTAACAGTGCGCAACACAGGCTCGAGTAGTCCACTAGTCGCGCGAAGACTAAAGCATGAAAGCGTGATGTACCGTGATGAGGGGTTTACTGGGACGCGTGCGGGCTATGCCAGACTGGAAGAGTTCGGGAACGTGGCTCAGACGCGTCGTCGATGACCACCCAAGAGCAAACAGTGATGGTAGTACTAAGTAATACTACTATCATAAGACATGCATGTGAAAAGCGCCTCAGGACGCAGCACGTTCAAGGTGTCGTGTCGTGTGTCAATTTACATGATTACGTCGTCTGGCATGCTCATTAGATCGACCAGGCATTGGTCAGAGACCATACGTCGTTGAACGCGTGCTGACGACAAGCAGACCACAATCCAGATGGAGATAGAGTTTGTGGGGCCGGAACCAGAGACGTCAAGATGAAAATTCTCGCAATCGCCCGCACACAGCCCAGGACCAAAGTCGGGGTCTGCTACAAAAGCGCGCAGTTGGACAAGACAAGTCGTTCAATCCATCTCTCCGTATCACTCCTGCGCTTTGACAGAGACTTCGGCTAACGCGACTTCCCCCGCCAAAGCTATAGCTACGCTACTGCAGTAAGTAGGCGCCGGCCTCCATGTACATATGTACCTCAGTCAGCTGATGTTCAAACTTGAAACGCGAGTACTAAAGACGCCTTAGAGCATTCCTCGAGCCGTTTGCACACGTCTCTCCTCACACTCGAGCGGTTTCAGTGTGTGTGGCTGGTTTCGGCATTCCTGGAGCCTGCGCCTCGCCCCCAAGCCAACTCGGTTCCGGATCAGCCCGAGACCGCAAGGAAGCGACGGCCCAGTGACGTATCATGTAAGTTGGCTGGCAATTTTTCTTTTTTGGCCTCAGCCCACCTCAGCAGACGAGCAGCAGCAATATTCGGGCGCTGGATCTGGACATGCCGAGAGGTTCGTTTTGGGATGCTCTTGCGTCGCGATAGCGTGGCGGGCATGCCGTGCAGCAGCAACTGCAGGTGGGCAGCCATGATCCCGAAAGTCTGGGAATCTCGCCCTAGCACCTTTTTCATTGTCCGCGCACGCACAGCGTTTTTCCCTGCGTCACAGTAGCCCGCAATTTCACTGTCAAGCTCCTGGGCATTTGGGCTCACCAACCACAGTGGCACAGCCTTCCCGCCCCTTCACCCCTTCATCATCCGTCCAGGCCTTGTACCCTTACACCTGCGGCATCCCCGATTCCTCAGCCCGTGCAGCTTCTCGCACCGTGAATTGACGTAGTCGCTCCGTCAAGCTATATGGGAAAGTGCCTTGGGCCGTAGATTCCCATAACCATCAACACGCACCAACGCCGCCCGCAAAGTGCCCGCACACCCCTGCCCGACTCCACACCTCGCCCTGTTTACTCCGCTAAGACCTTCGATCACCAGCGCTTCCGCGATCTTTTACCCTTCCACCTCCACCACCTCACACACAGAATATTTGTCTAGAAGATTCCCGTCGCTCTCTACAAATACCACTCACGCTCCTTTGAGTCTTTACAAGCATCACTCATTGCTGTGCACCCCGCAATCCACTACCCAGTCTCAACCTCCACTGTTTGTCGACCACAACTCCACACAAACCTATTCGACATACTACACTGCCGCTATGGCTGCTCCACTATCTCCCCACCCTGTCTATCATGACCCTATCCCAACATCGCGCCGCAACTCAAGTCGCAAGACCATTGCTTGCCTCTCACGCACTGCCTCCAATGTGGAAACTGCTCGCACCGTCTGCCCCAAGGACGGTGATGCATTCAGCTACGACCCTATTCACTTACGCCATTGGAACTGCCCTCAGCAACTCTGGGACTGTCTTCCCAAGCAAGTCCAGTCTAGCCTAACTGATGTTCAGCGTGCAGGCGCCGCTGTTCTGACTGGTAAGTCTAACCATTCTCCGTACACTTGGTTTGATGCTAACTAGATCAGGCTTCGCGCGTCTTGACCAGCACTTCGACAGCTTCGAAGTCGACCCCAAGGCTGCTGGAGACGAGCTTCTGGTTCACCTCGACGAACTCCCTCCTCCCAAATTCCGCACAATCAGCAACGCTAGCAGTGTATTCCAATCTGACTCGTCCTCGCCTCTCACTACTGCATCAACAGCCTCTCAGTCAGGAAGTGCCTCACCTACGACTCCGGCTTTCTCTGGCGTATCTGGATCTCAAATCATGTGCCCTGGTTCACCCATTTGCCTAGGGCCCCCAGAGCTCTCTCGCTCACGTGAGCGCTCCTTCTCTACGCCGCTGAGGTCGCACGACGCCAAGTATGCTGCTGAGCTGTCGCACCTGCGAACTGAGGCCCTTCCCCGTCTACGTCACAAGTCTTACAAGGTCGATACAGAGTGGCAGGAGGCTAAGCGTGCTAAGGGTGCCCTCTCCTCCGACGACATCAATGCTTTCGAGAACTTCTGGGCCGAGAAGAAGTTGCTGATCCTTAGTCTCAACGAACGCGGCAAGCGCCTTGCAAGCGCCGCCGGTCTTGCCACCACCGGACTCGGCTGGTGCGCCCCATAGAGGCTAGTGAGGTGGTTCTCCTTGAACCGGTCTCTTGAGATGGTTCAGTGAGCGCATCAGTCACGCGGCTTGGCACAGCACAACCACAAACTTCCTTTTCTTTCCCATTTCCTTGAAGTTTCATTTCCCCTGGTTTCTGCTTAACTTCCTGTGCGTTACAAGCGAGGAGTTGGTCGGTTGGTATTCATTCATGTAGGCATCTACACTCACAGATCGGGAAGATCTACTGGAATGGACATAATCCTATGATAGATCTCATACACGCCCATGTCATCATGACGGCGGTCTCACGAGAGATCCATTTTGGTTGCATGGCGGTTGCCATGCGACATTGCGATAAATTCCACACGGCTCATCTTAGAAGGTTAGCCCAGATAACGAATCAAAACATCTAAATGACGACTTGTTTCGCGCATGTTCTTGCTTGCCAGTGCTGCATGCCACTCTCGTCATTCGTCTTTTGCGAGGGACAATGCTTTGCTATCATTATATTGTGGTGCCCAATACGGGCCCTATCGAGCTGCAGCTGCATGAGTTGTGGCTGCCCAACACTCAAAAGTTAGTCCAACGCCTCAACCTGTCTTCAAGCAGAAGCTGACAAGGCGCACCAATATTGTTAACGCGGGTCGTGCCAACAATGAGGTTGGCCATGTAGAAATGCAGCCAAGCTTGAGCAAGCCCGATCCTGCACGTTCTCGGCACTGCTGCAGCCTGCATCTGCCAGTCAGTTCAACCCCGCCCCTGCCACAGCAACGAGAGGGGTGCGTCCGCGCCCGCGGATCGACATGTTTCATTGCCAACTCCCAACCACGCGAAACAGGGCGTCTGAATTACGCTGAGATGATCGACTTATGGGCGAAACATGATGCGCCCAAAAAAGAAGGTTTGCTTCTACGCAATGATTGGTCTGCAAATGTTGACCGACGTTCTTAGTGTTTCCGTGCCGTTGCTCACCCAAGAAGAACTATTCAAGTTTAAGGTGTCGTATTCTCAATAAGCATCGTCGTCATCTGTATCAACTCGGGGCTGCTTGCCTCGATCCTGACTGCCGTTGGCCCTTGCAAGCGGGCTGCCTCCGAAGTCACGCCTGATTGGGATATCCTTGTCTTCATTGCCTGGTCTCCTACTGCCACGTCCTAACATGATTTCAGTATACCATCGATATCACAGTGGAATGATGATACCCACCGGCCCGGTCACGGCCAGCTTGTTGTCGCATGCCTGACCGCACTGAAGGCCCGAGCCCAAGATCGAAATCATCAGACTCCGAGTCTAAGTGGGCTCGCCTGCCTCCACCACCACCTCCACCACCCATCATCATCATACCTCCGCGGCCACCTCCCATGGCCCTGCCATACATTGCGGCCATTTGATCCATGTCCATGTCCATTCTCATGCCACCATTGCTGAACTGTCTGCCTGCCTTCGCCCCACGATGCAACATGAAGCTGGGCCGCATACCCTTCTTGTTCATCATGCCAGGTTGCATGTATAGATTTCCCATCATCCCCATGTCACCCATATCACCCATGTCATTCTCAAAGCCTCCCAAACCAGGAGTTTCCATGCCACCGCCCATTCTACCCAGTTCCATACTAGGATGCATGCGCCATTTACCTGTTGGATCAGCCATGCCAGGTGGCATCCGACCCGTGCCGTACGGATCACCGTTCATCATGCCCATCTGCTGGGCTATTCGTGGATTCATATCCATATCGTTGATCGAGAACGCACTCGGCCTTATGCCTGCCCCTCCAAAAGGTTGTCTTGTGGGGCCGCTCTCGGTTCTATCTCGTTGGTGACTGTCCTTCTTCAGGTCTTGCAACCCGTTGAGCGCTTCTAGTATATCCTCTTTGAACTTGTCGAACTCGTCTTTCCGCTTCTTTTCTTCTTTTTTGTCCTTCTTCTTCTTCTTGCTCTTCTGCTCTTTTTCACTGTCACTGCTCTCGCTTTTCTTGCAGCCCGAGTGATCTCCACAGTCCTTGCCTAGATCTGTTTTCAGTATGTACCTGATCTCACCGCTACCGTAGGTATAATCCTCCTCGTCTGAGTCGCTGCCTTTACGGAGGTCATTTCGTGCAAGGTATATGACGCGCTCGCTTTTCCTGCAGTTGCAAGCTGTGGTGCAAATACAGGCGTCAAGGAAGGCGTCGCCCCCAAGCAACTCGCCCCCTGAAGGGCCAACCTGCTTATTCCAAGGTTGGCCGCGGTTTAGACGGGCTGACGTTTGCGGGTCCGCGCGGGAGCGCGATTTTCGTCCATGCTTCTCTGCGTTGGCGTATGCACCCTTTGGAATATGCTCGTAGTGTTTTGGTATTTTGCGGCCGGCTCGTCGTGTGGGCTGAGATGTGTCTGGGCTACTTCGTGATGATGACTGGCTGGGAGCTACTTCCACATCTGCATACGGTTTTATGCCCGCGCCAGCACCAAATCGAGGCATCGATGGATTTGACGTGTATTCTGGAGGCATACCAGGTGGCTGCATACCCCCCATCGCGCCCATACCACCCAGTCCCCTTATAGTTTCCATACCCCCCATTCTTGGACTCCCAGGCATACCCATTGGCATACCGCCCATACCTGGATATCCGCCCATTTGCATCTCAGGCGCAGACCTGGGTCTCGGATCCATACCTTCAAAACCCCTTAGCCCACCTCTGCGTTTCATTCCCGACATGCCACCACCACCCATCATACCGCCGGGATAGCCTTTGGATACTTGACGTCGCATACCTCTTGGACTTCTGCTTTCCATCATATTCAAATCTGTACTCTCGCTATCGTCACTCTCTTCGGAGATATCTATATCTGGTCCTCCGTACCGAGGGTAGGGTCGATTTCGCGGACGTTGGTGTTGGTGTCCGCCACGATATGGTAGTGGACAGGGTGTGTATATGGGACCTCGTGTGTACGGATCGGATCTTGAGCGCGCGTAGGAGGGTGGGTGGACACTAAATGCCGTCCCTGTATAGACGTATAAGTATGGACAATAACAATGGAAGGACAGATGGATGAGGTGTAGAGCAGGACCAAAGAGGTTTACGCACCAGGGGGAACTAAGACTTTTCCTCCAGGAGCGTTGACTTCGACGAGGGGTGGAGGTGTAGAATGCGATGCACCCATAGCACTCACGTCCGGCGGACCGTTACAGGAAAACCGGATTTGTTGTAGAAAGGGATACTTCCCGGTGATTTTAGATGGGGTTCCTACAAACACATTGGCACTCTTAGCTCTCGTCGCAGACCAAAAGCACAGGTATCGCCTATACCAGGTACATATAAGGATCTCGATACTTCAAGGTCCGTTCACTACAATCCTTCGTTCGTCTGAAAAGAAGAGAATGACGAGCGAAGAACGAGAACGAGAACAGGTAAGTATTGCAGCACGGTGTGTTCATGCTCACCGACTGGAAATACTCTGACATGTCAGCTGTCATTTGTTTGCTCGTGCTAAATGGGATGCGCAAGTGCTGCGTTGCACGACAGCAGCTATTGTCGTGTCGCAGTTTGGCCCTTCTCGTATCACGAGAAGGCTGCTTGTCTACTTTTCTGTTTTCGTGCGGCTGGCTCAACGATAGATCTAGCGTTGTGAAAAGCAATGAATGCAGGTATGTGACTTGTGAGTAGAATCTTGTGTATGGTGTCATTGTGTCTATGTGTATAAGCATCGCAGACAGTGTGTGATTTTCCCATCCGGACAACGTCATGCTAATATCGCGGAAAATTATCACCACGCATCAAAGTGCTAGAAAAGCTCATTGCCTACAGAATTGAGACTACAATAGTCTTCGAGTACTTTTGAACATTTCCCGCTATGATGAGATACGCCGTGGCTGCCATGCTAGGTAATTTGCTTAAGTCGCCAGACGACAGTGCACGCCGCCATTCGCAATTTACTATGCTGAATATTAGAATAGCACTCCTGTATATCAGCTGCATTTGTTCAGTCACCCAAGACACGTTGTTTTTGAAGTCATGTTATATTCTCATCCGCCGTATACAACTGCTACTCATACCCCATGTACTTCATCGCTCCTTCAATCATTATGCAGAGTATCATAAGACCATAGCCTCCAACTCCAGGAATGGAACAACTCCGACCTGCGCCAGACAGTAACAAGAACAATGATAAGACATGATACAAGGAAACGAAAGCAGCAACGCTCCCTCGACTTTTCCGCGGCTCCGCGCGAATGTACTCAAATGCCAAGCTCATCGAATTGGCGTGCTCAACTCGGGAAATGGATGCGCAGCACCCAATCCCTTCAAACTTCTCCTCCCCTGTCGCCGTCTCCAAAACCCCAATCTTAGTCGGTGCGAAAGAGTAGAGTATTGGCGAAGCTAAAACACAAAGAAAGGCCAGTAAGTAAGTGAATGATTCAAAGAAAGTAGATGAGTGGTATCGACGATGAAGATGAAAAGGAAGACTAGAAAATCATCGATCGAACCTGCTCTCTACGTCCCGGCTTCCCTGACTCCTGGGTTCGCGGTCGTGGAGGTGGTGCGTGTGACATGCGAACATCCTTTAGAGGTGGAGGAGGCGCATGCGACTGTGTGCGGGCGTGCCCCTTGACGGGACTTGACGGAGTTGACTTGATGGAGCCTAATATGTCGTGAGATTGGGTGCGTGCGTGAGAAGGCCGGCGGTTGACGCTCGGTGAGTTTGGCACTGGATGCGACTTGGTTGGTGAGATTGGTGCGCCAATCTGTGACCGCGTAGCCTTCTCCTTGCGCTCCTTCTCAAGGACCATGGCAGCCCAGCCCTTGTTCTGAGCAATGTCTTTGCCAACAGTCTCATAGAGCACCTTCATCCAGGCCTCTTTTTGTTCGCGGCTGTCGGCGTAAAAGTCGATGACCTCACCGTTGGCGAAACGAATGCGGAAGCCTTCTTCTACGAACATGTAGCCTTCTTCATCATCAGCAAATCCGGACTTGCGACGACCACCAGACTTTGTAGCAGATGGCTGCTGAAGGGCGCTCTTGTCGTCAATGAGCTTGGAGGCCTTGGCCAGGTTGATGGTAGCACGAGGTTGCCGTGTAGACTCGTGGTAAGCGGTAAGCTTTGTACCTTCCAAGCGGAAGAAACGGCGTCGCCAGTACGGACAATCTCCACCCTGCTGGCTCAACGTGCCTTCGAAGCTGATGTCCTTGACTTGCTCAGCTTCCTTGAGTTCACGGATAGCAGCGTTCATGCTCTTGGGCATGTCCGAATCCTTTCCGTTCTTGGGCTTGGGAACATAAAGAAGCTGAAGGGTAAGTTTACCCACCCGGTAAGGTGGACGACGAACAACACCTCCACGCTTGCTCTTGACACTGCTGGCGCCGGTGTTGTCGACAGCCCACTCGTTGAAGCAGGGAATATCAACGGTCAATGGACGACCATAAGCTTGATTCTCGTGGTTGTTGAGGCAAACGTAGGCACGGGCAAAAGAGCCGTCAGGTCCGACCAGGTCGTGGAGAAGATCCCATGCGGTGGCCTTTTGATTACGCTTGGCAGCGGCTTGAGCTTCCTGATGCTCCTGTTGGGCGATGCGATCAGCCTCCTCCTGAGCCTTGCGTTCCTGCTCTTTCCTCTTCTTTGGCGATGAGAGGAGGTTGCGGAAAGCAGAGTGTGACTTCTTGTGATTTACAGCCTTAGCAGTAGGCGCAGCGACAACCTGGGGCACTGCTGGAGGCTGCAACTTAGTTTGCAGTGTAAGCTGGAACTCAAGGTCATCCATGACGACAAGCTCAAACTCTTGCCCGATGGGAGCAGATTGTCCAAGCTCTAGCCAAGACGTTGTGACGCAGTGCAGGCCGTTGTCCAGCGTCAACTGGAAATGGGTACGCTCATGCTTTGGCAGGGGAAGGTCGAGGTCCTTAACGCCAACAACCTTGACGAAAACCAGGCCGCGCTCCTCACCTTCTTCAGGCTCGCCGTCAACTCCCTGCTCAGCAACAGAGTCTAGTCCGCCAGCGACAGCGGATTCTTGGCCAGGAAGAGGTGGCGCTGGGCCCTCGGAGGTGCGAGTACGACGACCAGATGCCGTTCGGATGCTCTTCCTACGAGGCTTACCATTCCAAGGCTCCTTTGTCCAGGCAGGCTTGCGCTCGGCGCTCGTCTTACGAGAGACAGGCTTGGCAGCTGCCTCGCTCGTCGCCTCGGTAGGAGTAGGAGGCTTCTCGTCGCTGAATTGGCGACTGCTCGCAACAACGACCTTTGTGTTCTCGCGCATCAAGTATCCTTTCTGTTCGTGGATCATGTCGTTAGCGAGACTGTGCCTGTGAATAAAGCTTCCACCAGACATCTGACAAGCTGTGTCCGCGACAGCAGCAATGGATTCAGGCAATCTGGTGAGCGAGGGAATAGGAAAGAGATTTCGTACCTTTTGTGACTCAATGATGTGATCAAACTCCTTGTCCAGCCCGAAGCTGAGGTCAGTCGAATCGTCACCAAGGTTAAGGTCGCCGAGCTGCAGGTCCAACATGCGGTTCTGCTTGGTTGTGATGCTCACTTGCGTATCGTCTTCGTCATGGCTCTCGTCGTCGGCGTTGCCAAGCTCGAGGCTCATTGATTGGCGCTTTGGACTGCGTTCAGGAACAGGAGGAGCATGCTGGCCACTGACCTGGCGGCGTGTAGCGGCCATGTCAATATCGTCGGGAATCAGCGATGGCCGCGTCTTCAACTTTCCACCTGCACCTCGGATAGTGGCTTCCCGTTGAGGAACCTCTGGAGCGTTCTCTTGAGGAGCCGGAGAGACAGGCATTGGGTGACGAATGACAGAATCTGGAGTACCAGGGTCCTCCGACTTCGACTGGTCCTCGTCCATGTCGGGAGCTTCAGGCGTGACAGGTCGTCGTAGGAAGTCGCGCATGGCATCTAGCTTAGGGGCTGAGTCCAATGGACTTGGTGCTGTCGCCATAGACGCCTTCAGAGGATCCAAGCTAAGGTCCACGTCCTTGCCTTCGAATGTAGAGTACATCTCGTCCTGTGGCACCTGCTTCTCTGCCGAGACAGGGGAAGAGGGAGCGGCAACGGGCGTTGATGGGCCGGAGGAGTCGATGGTGCTCTGCGCAATAGACGGTTCGTCAGGTTGAGGCGAGTATTGGCTAGTATCATCTTCGTCATCTGAGTGTTGAGGCATTGGATGCCGAATGACAGAGGACTCGCGTTCGTAGTCTTCAAGCTGAGACATCGAGCTGCCATCTACATCACTTTCCTCAGTATGGTCATCTTCTGCCCTGTCTGCGTTATGGTAACTGTAAGCGTCGACGACGCTATCGGCCTCGCTGACAGAGACTTGACGCGGATGCTCGTCGAAGTTGGAGGAGGCCTCACGTGACGGAATGGGGACATCGGGGTCCAAGTCAGCAAGGTCGCCATAGCTGCGCTCAGGACTGTACTCGGGCTCAAATGTGCTGTACTCCTCGTCCTCTTCCTCTTGCTCGTCGTCGTCACCCTCGTCGAAGGTGCGGCTCTTGACACGGCGGAGGATGGATTCGCGAGAGATACGCG